CAAATCCTTATACGGTGAGAGATCATGAAGAAAACTTTCTTAGTGTCGTTGGGGAAAAGATGAGAGTTCAGTTCGTAATGGATTTCACATTCCGACAGGAATGCGGTCAACTTGTTCCTCTCTCCTCTCCAGAAGTCCGGATTAGGCAGTTTTATTCCCTTCCGTGATTCGCCAACTACGCTTGGGGTCGCCGAAGTTTGCCGTCCCATGGCGTACCTCACCCCTTCTGATATTCCTTCTGCAATACCGCCCACCGTCTCCCTTTCTCTTCTCTGCCCCCACTCCTCCCTACGCCTTCTCTCTTCCATCATGTCTTTGTTCATATTCGCCACCATCTGCATCAAGGCCAATATCACCCCTTGTGTACCTTCTTCTCTCACGTCCGCCGTACTTCCAGTGTTTTCTGGCCGCGGGGTCTGATCCGATCCAACTGGGGATCCTATAGGTGGGAGGGCATTACCCGAAGGTGTAGGAGGATTAGAAGGTAATGGTGGAGCGAACTCATCTCCTTGAATTGATCCCCCCACACTATCCTCCACTCCAAGCTGCTGCCCCATCGCTCTGCTAAGCTCCTCCAGTGCCCTCCTCTCGTTCTCCTCCATCCTGTCTCCGTCCCTACTCATACCTCGCGTAACTCTCCTATCTGGTTCCATAGAATCTTCGTACTTCTCCGAGGTTCACACGGGTCGTCGGTAAGAGCGATCCTTGATACTGTCACGAGCGTCGAACAACTATCTTCTGGCAGACCGACGGTCGACGAACCTCGGCTAACTTGATGCTCCTGAGTCGAAGTCTCACCCAACCGAGAGGGCACAGACGTCGAAAGGAGTGTAACTACGGCGTACTTCGGCGTAGTTACTCTAACTGGGGTTTTGTTCTACTGATGGCGATGTATCTCGAATTGTATATAGCTATCTCTATCTGTTTTTCACTACTGACAACAATCAAGGATCGCTGAAGAACTTCAGCGATCTTCTCAGCTAATATTATCTACTCCTCCTAGACGTTCATCCAACCCTCTCGCGCTTTGACGTACTTCAACGCACTTCGTCCAACTTCCCCGAGCCCTCGGCCATCCTCTTCCTCCTTCGACTAACCCCGCCTAACATCGCCGCACTTCTGCTCCCATTGTCCCTACTTAGCCTAACTCCGTCTAACTTCGCCGTACTTCTGTTCCCATTGTCCCTACTTAGACTAACTCCGCCTAACATCGCCGCACTTCTGCTCCCATTGTCCCTACTTAGCCTAACTCCGTCTAACTTCGCCGTACTTCTGCTCCCATTGTTCCTACTTAGCCTAACTCCGTCTAACTTCGCCGTACTTGGTGTCAGAAGTCCTGAGTTACGTGTAGAGTAAAGAGGTTAAGGCGTGATGGGGTTTTGATGGCCAAAGGAGGGTCATTGTTGGTGGAGTAATCGAGGTGTCGCGACGTAGTTCGTGACAAGAAGATCGCTGAAGTTCTTCAGCGATCCTTGATTGTTGTCAGTAGTGAAAGACAGATAGAGATAGCTATATACAAATCGAGATACATCGCCATCAGTAGAACAAAACCCCAGTTAGAGTAACTACGCCGAAGCACGCCGTAGTTACACTCCTTTCGACGTCTGCGCCCTCCTGGTTGGGTGAGACATCGACTTAGTAGCGTCAAGTTATCTGAGGTTCGTCGACCGTCGGTCTGATAGAGAGTAGTCGTTCGACGGCCGTGACACTTGGCTACCTTACAACCAGAAGTTGAAACCCAGGCAGAGAGAAGCCAAGTCATGCTCTAGTCCTGGTTGTCCATATTGGGCTCAATTCCTTGATGGGCAATGTATTTATCATAGCCAATTTGGAGCGAAAGACACTATCCATGTGAGGGGGTATCAATCCGAAATCACTTTTGTAAAAGCCAATCATACAGTGTGCAGAGAAAGTTTGATGTGATTTAGAACGTTGGTAGAGATCCGGGACAAGGTAGTCCAGTTGGAATTGTTGTCATGATGTGTCCATTGACAGGGACGATGCACTGCTTGGATGATGAAATTGGCACCTCACAACCTTTCCTTGGAGTGAATGTTTTGGACCGTGACATTGAGAGTTCTTATTGTTATCTTTTGGAGTAAAGTCCGACTCAATTTCCGTCTGAAAACCCCTAAAAGTCTGTTGGTTGTCTCACCTGTTACGATTGACATCTTAGGACCCCGGACACATTGGAAGTGACACGAGAATCATGTCAATGTAAGACGACCATAGTACGAGCTCGTTTATGTTGAATACTAATACCACGTAATTGCGATAGGGGTTGGTAATACGATTTCGTTTTGTAGTCTTTGATGCAACTCTTTACTATCATCGTAATCGTAATCGTCGTACATTCGAACAGTTTTTGAACATTACTTACTTGTATTCGTAACTTGATGATTTCCGTGCGTTTCTTCCGATTCTCCCCGCCTACTCCGCATTTTCGAATTCCGCACTTTCTTTCCGCACAATAAGTCCGAACCACATCAATTTCACAACCCCACCAATCTCCTCTTTCTTCCCTCTCTCAACAAAATTTCTTTCCATTGACATCCATCATCTCCGAGTTATTACAAATGTCCGACTTACTCACACTGTTCATACACCCGACCACCTTCGACCTTTGTAGCCCAATGATACAATCACCGAGGTGGAGAACTAACAAAGGATCCGTCTTTTGTATATACGATAATCTTTACGATCTCAACTGTATATCCTTTCTTCGACGGGCGAGATTCGAGAGGAGATGCGAGAAGATGTGAAGATTAAGATTCTCTCTCCTCCTCTGAACGTACACTCCGATAGTCGGACGAATCGTGGAGCTTTCTCGCCTTCGAAAACTCATCATATCTCTTCTATCCCATCGTCATATTTTGTCGTAAGAAACTTTTTCTCTGTTTTGTTAAACTGTTCACTTACTGTATCTCCCTTCAACTATCGGGTGGAACATATAACTATACTAATTATCATACAGAGATTATCATATAGGTGATCTCAAAAGATGTCCTCAAATGCTAATAACTCTAGATCTCCGGTTAGAGGAGTTGGAGGAATGGGTTCAAGTCGACCGTGAGTTCATCATATCTTACAACACTCTTTCTTCATCTTAATGCATCATCTCTCCGAAGTTCTCTACCTTTCCTTTCCTTTTCTTTCCTCCTCATCGGAGCCCCCGTCTTTGAACGGTGTGCTATACAATACTACCCACTCATGAGCCTAACCTCGAAAGTACTGGGAGAGTAGAACCCTAGGGGATAGATATTGATCAACAGACGTGCTGGCTCAAGTACTGTTCAAAAAGGATTCAATCCTTACCACAAAGGTCGTCCTCGATCCAACTCAACCCAAACCTCCCCGTCGATCTCGAGACATCGCGACGGGAAATCTAATTCTATGCCTGTCGCCAAGCAGACTCATCTGGAAGATCCTCATCATCCTTCAATTTCTTTTTTAGAAAATGTCGAATCGCCACCTTCAAGCCCTATCGACCCTACCAGCCCATCCCTATCATCTCCCCCTTCCAATCTATCAATATCATCATTTAGTCTTTCAAACCATACCATGGCGTCTGATCAAGTCATCCACCAAAATGATTACATTATCATTCCTCCTTCCCGTCTTCTTCTCTCATATTATCACGACCCATCACAAATCACCATTGAAGAACTTTCCGTCTACTTGAAAGACGACGGAAAATACCATCTACCCTTATCTCGACCCTGTCCATCTTGTAATTCCCCCGCAACTTTGAATCTAGAGGAAATGAAAAATCCTTCAAGTCTTCAAATCTCCACAATGGACAGTACTTCAGACGCGGAATTGGAACGGACATTAGGGTCGGCTATAGGTGGCAATGTTATTACTTCCGTTGGATGGAGATGTGAGAGATGTACTACCAAAGGAAAAGATTCGAGGGATGGAGGGGAAAGAGGAATGGCGAGTTCTGAGTCAGTGAAGAAATGTACGTGGGAAGGATGTAATGGTTGGAGGTCACATCCTTCCGAATCGGGAGGGAGATGTTATGAACATGTTTTTGTTACTCCAAGTGGAGGGACAAAGGTTGAAGAGAGGAAACAAGATTTGTATATTGTTATACCATATTCTGGAACGACCACAGTTTTTCTGGGGTGAGTAGTACATCATGTATCCTATCCATATTTGAACTGATTGAACTGAGGTTAGTAGATAAATGATGCAATCAGTCAAGTTGAAATAAGATCAGAAATGACATGCTCTTACATATAAAACTACCACCTTACAGCCTCATGTGACACACCCCCCTTCAATACATCCCCTTCAACCTTCCTAAACCTTGTTCGAAGAAATTGATATCTGTTCTCCCTTTCATCTCCACACATCTCTCTCGCGATACTTGCAGTCAATCTATCAGCCTCTTTCAACCTTTCATCCTCCCATTGTTTACCCGTCTGCCCGATCATCCCTTCTTGCGGTCTTAATTGAGGTGAAGGTGGTGGTGTTGGCAGTCCGTTCCAATATACAGCTTCGACCTTTGCCACCCAATCTTTCGTGCTCCATCTCCACCTCATCTCATCTTCCGCAGGAGGTTTAGACGCGACACCATCAACTTCCATCGGTCGTTCATATCCCTCTTCATCCTTCTCCGTTGATGGTATCACAGCTTTCATTTGTCCACCTCCATTAGCACATCCTCCTGGACAAGCCATGACTTCGACGAAATCGAGTTTCTTCGAATCTCTCCCTAAAGCAGCAAAAATATTTTCGACATCACTACCGTCCGTCGTAGGAGTAATAGGAGTGCCTATTTCCCCGGTACCGATCCGTGCTTTCCGTCGTCTGGCAGCAACGGCCGCTGAAAGTTTACCAGCACGTCCACCTGCTTTGCCGATTCCGGTTTCTTTTCCAACGCGCCGGACGAGATTTTGCAAGTTTCGGAACCCATAACATCGAGCACCTTTGAAAATCACGTCTCCGGTGACGGTATCTTCAAGGAAGTATTCGGTGTTATCGTCTGACTCTCGCACTTTTCGGACAGTCAACTGTGTGGGGTTGGGATGGATATTGGAAATGTGAGATATTATGGTAGAGAGATACGAGTCGGAACTGGATCCGGGATGATTGAGCAGTTCAGGCCAGGGTAGCTGAGCAGTGGAAATGGTGGAGAGAGGGGAAGATGGTAGATGATCATTGGGAACGGGTTCGTAGGGATCGAACCCGAGTTCTTGAAGAAGTAAGTCGAGTTCCCCGGTGGTGAGGACGCAATCGACATCTCGGGTATTGTGGACGGAGGAGTAGAAATCCGAACGTGACGCTTCGAGCTTTTTGTCATAACAAGGCATAGCAGTGACGTGGTAAATCTGACTGGGTCTGTCATTGTCAGCTCTGTCCCTCCATTGTTCTCACAATGATAGATGCTCAGACGAGCAGGTGTGCGTGACCAATTCTGAGAGGGTGGGTTGTGTTTGTATTGGAACACTCACTCTAAACTCATCTTCTGCCCCCACCATTGCTTGACCAGAGCGCCCATGACCCCTTGACTGCTCCGTGTCGCACTGAGCAAAGGCAACATGTCCCCTTGCGCCTTTTCGGCATAACAAACCCATCCAGGACATGCACTGGCCAACATTGGTAAACTAGGCTTGGCCACTCCTTTACCCTTTGCGTTCTCACTCCTTTCTTCAAACTCTTGTATGGATTCTTTGAGCGATACGTGTCGTGCAAATGTCGTATCCCAAACTTTCCACCCTCCATGCTTTTTCAGATCCAGCAAAGTTCGTATACGTCTGAGCAAAACCAGCAGGGGTATAGGTTCACGATTGTGTTTCGCTCCATATGCGGCGGAAAGACTAGCTAGAGTTTGCGGAGAGATGGAGAGAACTGGTGTACGTGTTTCTAGTGCATGAGAAGAGGACGAGGAGCAACCTCCGTTGACTGATGAAGAACAAGGGGTTTCGGAGGTGCATGTGGATGGATGACGTTGGGCTATGAATTCAAGTACTTCTTTGTGAGATTGCATCGTGATGAGTAGACTTTCCGTGGAGGTAATGCACCCGCTGCAGAGTCAGCACGCCTGATATATGTGTATGAATATACAGAGTAAAGAGACAAGATGGAAAGATGACTCACCTGCAAGCGAGACAATCGTTGAGGTTGATCTCTGCCTTTTCCAGAGCAGTTTTACTACTCTCCGCACCGTTCACACCTTTCACATCTGATAAAGAGTATGTGGAGACCTCATAATAATTATTGTTCGCATCGATATGTATATCGGTCTGTATCATCAGACGATGGGACGAGTTGCCCAAAGTGTGTAATAACTCACATCGCCATTTCCCGCTTTGACCGGTTTTGCATTTCTGACGGGTATGATACATGCTTGTGAAGGTGTGAGAAAGTCATCCAGATCCGTTATGGTCTATCATCCATCAGCTCAAACCCAATGTCCTACTTCACCAACACATACCAAAGCTCCTGAGAAAGTCATTGTTTCAGGAGTGAAAATGAGTGAGGTGGAGGAAGAAAAAGAGGGAATGACCAATGGAGAAATAGGAAATGGAGTGAGTGGCGTGTACTTTGAAATGCCACGTCATTATCAATTTTTCTTCCCGATTCCCCTCTCTCCCCCCTGTTGACTTTGTTGTCCGCCCACTTTAGCTCAACACCCTTCGAAAAGCCATGCAACATACTCAAGATCATCTTCATCATGACCCTTCTCTCGCCATATCAGCAGATACTTTACCAGACTTTATAGATCCATTACTTCAAGACGATGCTCTCTTCTTACCCGAAGGTCATTTCAACGGTATTGACGATGTCGCCGCCAACGCCCTCACTGCAACCTTGGCAGAGGCTCACGCTAGAGAAGCAGAAGCAGTCGAGAGGGAAAGGTCACAAGAGGAACTCCCGCCTATTCCTTCGGCATCGATGATCGACCCGGATGTCATCAGACATCCACGGGTGTATATGGCTCCTTACGATCGACCGGAAAGAGGGGATGATACACCTCATCCTGTCAAGTATGCTTTTGATACAAGGGCGGAATTCCAGGTTTGGTTCGAGGGGGAGAGTAGCTGGTGTCATTATGTTCAGAGGAGAAAGACTAATCCAGAGAAGAGGGCGGAAGAGAGGATGAAAACGAGGGTGAAGAATTATGAGAAGAATTTGGCTGGTTAGCCCTCCCTTCCTCTCCTCCTATTCAGCCGTCCTTATCAACTCTACATCTATCAGAGCCAGGGTAATCATGGTGCCACGCATAGGACCCAGCTAACACATCAGCCCTCCCACCAGAAGAAGCAGTCACCGCTCCTCCACTGAAACGACGCAGACGAAATCGGACTTCCCCAGTTATCGAAAAACTCACCTACACTTGTCATCACGCAGGCAAATACGAATCCAAACATTCCGATCAACTCCCCGCTGATAAACTGCGAATGAACACGAAGAAAAGTGTGAAATGTAATTGTACCAGTCGAATCGTGATGAGTGAATTACAAGATGGGGAATGTAATGTTACTTATTATTGGAAACATGACGGACATGGTGAGTCCTACTTTGAAATTATCTCAACTCAAACATCGATTCATATATTCCATTACCTCCCATTCTTCCTCTTCCATCATCAACACATGACATCTATCCTCCAAGTGCTTTGAGATCGAGAGTCATGAGTTACATCCAATAACAACCATGGCTGGTGGAATGTCATGAGACGCGAGACACTTTATTGATGTCAGATCCTTTTGCGGAGGAACAAAGAGAAGGTGGTCGATTACCGAAGATCCTCGATGATTGGCTTATCGCTCAAGTCAACGCTGGAAAAGATACAGAAAGTATAATGAAATTACTTCAAATGAGTGATGAAGAGAAACAAGATGTACGTTGGTTGTTTTCTTCCCCGACCCCCCAAACTTCTAACTCTCCAAATCTTCCAAATCTCTCTCAATCATCAAACCATCAGACTTTCATTTTCCATCTTAGTGTACTAGTATGAATGTTGACTTTCAGTTCTCCAAATTGGAAGATTTACCTCCCCCACTTCTAACAAATTTCAAAATCAAATATCCAGATGTATACAATCGATATCGTAAATTAAAAGGTCCAATCAAAGGTACCAGAACAACCAGACGGACGAATTCTCATCCAGATATCAATATAGATGCACAATCATTACGAATCCTTCCTGAAGAAAAATCAAACATTTCTGAGAATATCTACAATGATGAACCTTCTTCTTCACATACATATCCTCATCAACCTTCAGATTTATATACTCGAGATGAGAAACAAATATTTTCAGAAAGAGATTTAGAAGGTACCGACGTTCATCCTGAGATGGGAAATTTATCAAATGGGGAATTGGATGATAAAACTTTAGCTCAACATTTAAGGGATATACATGATTCTGATAATGGGGAATTTCAGGGGATGACAGATATTGAATTTCAAAGGATGGGAGAGGAAATGACCGCTCAATTGGCTAAATATGCTGCTGTACATAATCTTCATTCGAGTGGAGAAGGAGTTGAGGATGGTTTACATGGTGTGGAAGTTGGTGATGGATTGCATGGTGTGGAAGTCGATGAAGGGTTACATGATGTGGAAGTCGGTGAAGGGTTACATGGGATGCAAGTTGGACAAGAATTGCATGACGTAGGAAATATGGGTTTAACAGATTTGAGTCAAGAATCGATCGAAGGTGTGAATGTAGGAATGGGATTTGACAATGTTTCTGTGGAACTTGGACATTTGCAAGATGTTGGAGAAAACTCAGGTATAGGTATGGAATCGTTACCCAAAGCAGAAGGGTCTAAAGGTAAAAGGGGTAGGGTTGGGAAAGCGTGATCAAAATCTTCATCTTACCTTACTTAAGAACAAGTTGGAAACTTCATTCCGATAAGCGGGTTATCAGTATGGTTCAGGTCTGGCTCCTGCTTTTATCCTTCGTAAGATAGATTAATTACTTTCGGAGAAATCATGTCATGTATGTTTAACTTTGATCCATTTTCCGCCCAGACATTGCAAGTAGGGTTTGCACGATCCCTTACCCACCTTCTTGGGTCATAAAAATACACCAACTTGTGTCATATACATACACCGACTTGATGTCATTGAAGAAGAGATATCAGTACGAACGTTACACACGTTGATATTCACAATGCATGACTTCCCTACTCTTCCTTGGCAGCATCACTAGCTTTGACAGCTGGAGCGATCGCCTCTATACTATTCGCAACCACAGGTCTCATAGCAGGGAATAACAAGACCTCTTTGATGTTAGCAGAATCAGTCAAGAACATGACCAATCTATCAATTCCTAAACCCCAACCACCCGTCGGAGGTAAACCATATTCCAAAGCGTTTATAAATGTCTCATCCACACCTTGAGCTTCATCATCACCTTGATCTTTTTGTCTGGTTTGTTCGAGGAATCTTTCTCGTTGATCGAATGGATCGTTCAATTCCGTATAGGCGTTACAAATCTCTTTGGTAGCTACGAAAGCTTCGAATCGTTCGCATAGACCTGGACGGGAACGATGATATTTGGCTAAGGGGGACATGACTTGGGGATGTCCGACGATGAAAGATGGGTTTATACATTGAGATTCGATGTATTCTCCAACGAGCTGATGTTAGTGAGTTTACCGTGTGAGTCCGATCCGAAGGATTGGACTGGATGAGAAGGATCCCCAGGGGACTGGGGACTTTTCTTTGACAGGGTGTGCAAGAGACACAAGACCATTTAAGTTGGCATGATGGGCAACACGCGAAATCTTATGAAGAGAAGGATGCGGCACGGGACTAATGGACTATGGGGCTGAGGAAGCAGTATGGGGCGAGTGGCAATGTGTGACGAAGGGAGGGTGTGCAGACGATGTAGATTACAGAGGAGTCAGAAAGTGAGGAGGGGATGAGGACAGTAAAGAGAGACAAGATCCGAACTCACTTTGTCAAGCATACGAGCGTTGGTTTTCGGCTCGGGACAATCAACATTGTGCTGTAAGTCAGCCAAGTCCGACTCTCATCCAGATATCGTGGCCCATCTTCATAAGATGCACAGGTGAGATGTAAAACAATAGTCTTTCAAAGGTGATAATTCCAGTAGCGGAGTACCAAAAATTACCCACCTTGGCGCACAAATCTCTGAGGAACTTATTCGCATTCTCATCATGCAAAGTTTCCCCTGGTGGGAACTTGACCTCCAATTGTTTCTCCAATTCACCAATCATATCAAACCTTTTCCAAGGTTTAGCAAAATCAATTTCATACGTCTTCTTCCCCTCTCCTCTGCCTTGTGGATGAAAAGTTATCTTTGTCCCTCCCGTGAGTCTCTTCACTAAACCGGAAATCATATCTTCCGTCATATCCATCAAATCGTACATATCCGCATAGGCCATGTAAAATTCGCAAATGCTAAACTCGGGGTTGTGCGTCATGTCGATTTGCTCGTTTCTGAACACACGACCGATTTCAAAAACTCTGTCTAGTCCTCCGACCACGAGTTCTTTGAGGTAAAGTTCAGGGGCGATACGCATGAAAAGGTCAAGTTTGAGATCGTTGTGATGAGTGATGAAAGGTTTAGCAGTAGCTCCTCCGGCAATCATGGACATCATCGGTGTTTCGACCTACATATTAGAAATCGTTCATTTCAGGATAGATTCCGGTATAAAAAGGAAGACCGAGGTGACAAGCAGAAGGGGCGAATTTTAAAAGAAGAACCCGGCGATGCACAAGACTTACCTCAAGGAATCCCATGTCATCAAGGAATCTCCTGATGTAGTTGATGGTCTTACTTCGTGTGATGAAAACATCCCTGGTGGAATGATTCATGATGAGATCGAGATATCGTTTCCTGTATCTGGTCTCCATATCCACCACCCCTTCTCGACCTGGAAGTTGATGCAAACAAGGGGAGAGAAGTTTGACTTCGGAAACGTAAATAGTGAGCTCGCCAGCTTTCGTACGTGAAGGTACCCCGGTAACACCGATGATGTCGCCTCGTCGTATAACATTATGTGAATCGAGAAAGGCGTCGAGAGAAGGGGCGGCTCTGCAACTTAAGCTTCATTGTTGATATGATTTGGAAAAACTTACTGAGCAGAAGCCATGACCTGGACCTTTTCTCCATCCGCTTTGAGATCGTAAAATATCAACTTGCTGGATGATGTTCGGATCGACATGACCCTTCCTGCCAAAGAGATCTGACCAAACATCAGCCCTTGCCTACATTTCTGCTCGTGTGTCTTGATAGATTCAAGGTAGGCAAGACTCACCGGTTGCTCCTTTTCCAAAGTGGTCCCCGACGCAAGCACCCCATCGGGGCCCCATTGTTTGATGAAAGTAGGAATTCCATGGGTGACATGAAATTTGTGAGGATAAGGATCTGGATTTTTTGTCTGACGTAATTGTTTGATAGCGTTGAATCTCATGGCATAGAATTGCTACATGTTCAGCTTTGTGTTAAAGGGTCGTCACAGCTCCTGGCCATGTGCAGGGACCCACTGGGACTAGAATCACTGGGCGTTATAATTGGAAAGAGAGACGGAAGGGTGGCGGGGAGGTAGGGAAACCAGGGCCATGGTCGAAACAGTTTCCAATATGCACCGAGGCCAAGAGACCATGAGACAGAAGGAACACTGACCGCCGCATCCATCTCAGCCTCTGCCTCCGCTGTATTCGGCTTGGAAGCTTGAACAGGTGCCTTCAGAGCTTTCTCAGCTTTCTGAGCCAATTTCTGTCTCGCATTGATTCTTCTCTTCAATTCGCTTCACATCAGCCATGAAACGGGTAGAGCAAGAGAAGACATACGACTTGGAGACCATCTCCCCCGTCTCTTCATCTTTATGAAGGTTAGCCTCTGGAGCGGACATGTTGAATGAACGATTGTTGGGTGTTCGTAGAAAATTGACCCTGTTTGCAATATGGTTATTCCGTGAGATCTGTACGGATGCTGTTGGACGTGAAAGTGCGAAAGTGAGTGTATGAAAAGCTTTGAGCATACAAAGGGAGACGAAGATGTGGTTTTTGATCGAGTGAGTTTGAGTGGTGAAATTCCTGAATGACGTGGATTTTCCACCAATTTCTTCTGATAAGCCTACCCAACACTCACAACTCATTTTCCTCCATTCAACCTCGAAAAAGAGTCAGAGTAAAGCTGTATACAATGACGTCCCTGTTATCATCCACTTTGAGTCTCATAAGGCTCAACACGAGTCGTATTCAAGTACAAGATATCTATCGGAACTGTGTAGCTTCTTCCTCCCGAACTGCGTCATCATGGGTAGGGTTGGATTCACTCAAATCTCCCAAAGGTGCAAATGTCCCGGTGAGTCACATTCACCACCACCCCTCTTTCCCTCCTAGTCTTGTTCATATCATCTTCTTCGCAATAAAAGGATCTATCTGATACTGTGGTACTATAAGACGTGTGTCACACGTACAAACGACGGGAAAAGGACAAGAGGGAAACGAATGTCATACAAAAAAAATCTAAACTGAACTAACTTTAAGAACACACGGTACGGTAGAGGACAAGGTTCTACAAAAGGTGGAACTTCAGGTAGAGGTCATAAAGGTCAAAAAGCGAGATCGGGGAATGGAAAACCTAACGCAAGGTTTGAAGGTGGACAAACACCTTTACATCGTTTATTCCCTAAGAGAGGTTTTGTAAATTTGTGAGTTTGTCTCATATATCCTTCCCACTATTCCAACTCTCTCTCTCTCTCTCTCTCTCTCTCTCTCTCTCTCTCTCTCTCTCTCTCTCTCTCTCTCTCTCTCTCTCTGTCATGACTTATTTCATATCCAATATCATCTCATGACATCCCCTTCTTAGATCCTCACTCGTGGACCGTTTCAAAAGCAATCCTGTCTCCTGGCACCTTCTATGTTTAAGGAATGAACCGATCTTTATCTAACAAAAAGCACCGCCAAAACTTTCGCTCCCCTCAATATCCCAAAACTACAAGAATGGCTTCTCCTCGGTAGATTAGATCCTTCTAAAACAATAACAACCCATCATTTAGTCCGTACCAACGCAGTACATGGATTATCACATTGTTCAGGTATAAAATTACTAGGAACTCCTGATCCTACTCTTCCTCTCCCTCCACTAGATTTGGAATTGGGAAGGTTTAGCACTTCCGCAGCTGAAGCCATAATGAATGCTGGAGGGAAAGTGAAAGCTGTTTATCATAATCGTTTAGCTTTGAGACAAGAGGTATGGCCGGAGAAATTCGAAGGGAGAAGAGTTAAGAATGCTTTACCTGTGAGAAAAGCTGATATCGGTATGTGCTCTCTTTTCCTCATTTCATCGTCCCACATTATTTTCTCGAAGAGAATGATCAGAGATGGAACGTAATTTTCGAAGGGGGCTTTGGTGGTGAAGGTTTATTTTGTCGTCTTATAGGTCTGGTCGTGAAGTAAAGATGAATGGAAGACTAGGGATAAACAAGAAAAAATGAATTGGGATCACTAATATGATAGAGTATTATTCGAATCCGAAGAAACACGGTTATCTAGTAACTCCGTCCACTCCTTCAAAGCAGACACAAGTGGTATGATAAAATTCTATTCTTTTATATGAAATGCATACCTCTTCGATGATCGATGAAAGATGTGCATTTATCCATTCAAGTTTCACTCTGGTCTGGTACATGTGATAGTTCCTCAATTATGTTTCGTACAAAATTTGACATACGTTTCATGAATATTCATCTAGGATCTTATCTATGACGACCATCCTCCCTTCGATCGGAATAAGCATCCAGACTCTTCAAACTCTTCTCTTGCCGTTCCAACTCCCATCTTCCCTCACGCCAATCATCTCTATCCGCTCTAGCCCGGGAAGTCTCTCGACCATTTCTCATGTCTCTATCTCTATCTCGATCATTATCTCGTCCTCTACCTCCATCTTTTCCTATTTTCTCTCTACCCTCTGACAAATCTCGATGGTCATCCTTGTACTCGCTCCTATGCCCCTCTCTGCTCTCGTTTCTGTCGTATTCATCTCTACTTCTTCTCCCAGGGGACATCTCCCTATTTCTTCCCTCATCTCCATGTCTACTTCTTCTACTCTCTTTCCGTCTCAACGATTCTTTGGCATCTTTACTCCCACCCATCTTCTCTTTCTCTCTGGCCTCCTTCTTCGCCCTTTTGGCAGCTTTTCGAGCTCGACGCTCTTCTTTATCCTCTCCCTCTCGCTCGCGTTTCCCTTTGATCCGTTTTTGTTTCTTCTCCGCTCGGAGGTATGCTGCCATAGGATCTTCTAGGTCGATTTCATCTGCAGGGTCGGATTCTTCGGAAGAGTCTGAATCTGTTGGTCAGCGCAACCTCCACGCATAGGAGGAAAGCGACGGGATGGAGTCACGACGAACCGTGGTGTTCCAGGATGGCAGAGTTGTTCGTGTTGAAGCTCAGACAGGAAGACTGAAGCGGAGAGAAGAATGGTGAAGGGGGAGGGGAAGGTTGATGCTGGCAAAGGCGAAATGAGGTGAGATTGTATATGTTAAGATAATCGAAAATCTCAAACGAATCTAGAAAGTTGGGGATGTTATGGACATTGAAACACAGAAGACTACAGGTGGAGAGACCTCACTCACCCTCCAACAAAGGTGGCATAGCGTTATAAGTCGGGTTCTCAGGTTCCACATGTTCACCTTTTTCGTTCTTTGTGCCTGCTTGTTTGTAGCTTTTGCAGTGGTCGACCTTCGAAGATCAGCTTTCTTTTCACCATCCTGATACTGTCAGACCCAATCTGGAGATGCAGATTAAGACGAGCAGAGTGACATTCGCGGTCGTTCCCAAAACCCAAAGAGCGAGGGAGGGAGGATCAGGATATGTTCATCTACAATAGAGAAGTAGACAAAAGTAATGAAGAAGATTATATGAGAACACTCACCCTAATAGTCCTCCCTAATATCTGCGCTCCATTCATATTATCCACCGCTAAAACAGTACTCCTCTGATCTTCATACATCAAGAACCCAAAACCTCTCGTTTTACCAGTTTCTTTATCCCGAGGAAGGTTTATATCTACCACTTCGCCCCATTGTGAGAAAACTATGATTACATCCCCTTCCGTCATTTCGTAACTCAAGCCACCTATGAACACGTAGGCGGAGTCTGTTTATGAGTTTCATGCTCACCGCAACTCAACTAAGTCATTAGGGTTTATCTATGGGATCCAAGTTTGTAGTACAAAGTGGGTAAGATCAAATTGTAGGACAGGCCGCGTATGTGGTGATATGATTTTGTAGAGAACCCACCCTTGTATTCATCATGCCAAGAACCCTTGACTCCCAATTCCAACTCTCTTAGGTTTATACGTTCAATCTCTTTTATAGTACTGATATGAGCTTGACCTTTGGTTCGAGTTCAGGACTGCTCACTTCATTTGGAATGTCTGCTGTTCGAGTTAATTGACGGATAGGTAAGTGACCTAGCCCAAACTTACAGGAGATTTTGCTTCCGTTCTCACCTACTTACCTTGGACCAAGAGCAAGCGTTACTACTTATGCTTTGCATCCATCTCACCAGAGTAGCTTACTAGTACGACGTATCATGGTACCGGAAGTAAGTACTGCCCATGGCCTTACTGATGTGGAGATACTTCTCTGCCACGTGCCGCAGATCCGTAGAGACGAAGTCATGAACCATGGTAAGCTACTAACTCCAGGTGATAGCATTTGGCCTCCGAATGGCCCTAAGCTAGAGCAAAGAGGACACAGGAAAGGCCGAAAGGTCGCTTCATCCACTCACTCATCACTTACTTACTCGAAGCGGCTACGACTGAGTAATTCTCACATTTCCTTTGATGCTTCTAACATGATCGGAATTTGAATAAACGACAGAGCCTTCTAACAGTACTTAAGACTGTCCAACTAAGTTTTATCTTAGGTCCCCCAAAATAACCCCCCCCCCCCCCCCACACACACACACACACCACACCACCACCACCCCTCCACGTACTCTCTTTGTTCACTATTCTAACCTTGTCGACATCCCAGTTCATACGAATCCATCAAAGATTATCATGACCGAAGTAAATCTCACTCCTGTCGCATCTGACCCTCGTGGAAAAACTTCACTTCGCGACCTCGCTCATACAATCGCTAAGAAGAATACTGGATTGGATCTTACTTTCCTAAGGGATTGGGTAGAGACTTCTAGAAGTCCTGAATACTTGCCCCCTATTCCAACAACTTTCTCCAATCCGCTCGAGCAGGGTGAAGACAGAGAGTTTCTGACCGTCTTCGCTCCGGGAGTATCCCAAGATCTATGGAATGACGCTGATCAAGTTCTTCAAAAACATCCAATTGATCCCACGACACATACAAATCTATGGAACGAAGATTTGTATGAAATGTTAGAAATCCATAATGAAGCAAGTAAGATGATGAGATTACTTAACTCGGGAGTGTTAAGAGAGTATTTTAAACGGAATTCCTCGAACGCTCACCCCTTTGAAGGTCTAGGATCATTGACAGTGGAAAAGGTGCCAGGGCCTTTTCGGGGTTATCGAGTCATATATGATCGTGACGGTTTCTGTCACTCATTGACGCATTGCTCATTCACTAAGACGTCCAGTTTCCATACGTCCAGGCTTTCCGACTCGACCAAGGACGAGTGGGTGTATCAACAAACTCAGAAATCCGGTCAAATTGTATCTTTGGAATATAGGGGAAAACATCGATCGGTACTTTATTCTTTTGACCCCTTGAGAAGCAGTTTATCTTTGTCTGTCTCTGACACTGCGCATGGGCCAAGACGTCATTATGATGCCAAGGTTGACGGCAAGGAAAAAGGGGCGACGTCGACCCGTAAGTAAACATCTGACTCACGGACGCTTTCTTTGAAGGATGATACGTCAAATGGTGATACGATAATCAGTGTGATTGAAGAAAGAAACCGCCTAACTCGGTATATCAGTATTGAACGGAAAGCAGACGGTAGTGTCGTAGCTTTGGGAGGAGCCTAAATCGAAGAAAAGGACCGTGTTTGATGTGAAATGAAGGTGGATGCGAATTATCTGAGAGAATGCATGGTCAGGGAGCCCGACTACCAATATTCCCTCCTCCGCGCCCTTTTGGCCCTGTGTAGACGTTTTCGGAATCCCCAACTGGTCTCTTGCTCCTCCATCTCTGATCGTTTGTTTTTGGATTGTTCCGTGGTGAGTGGGGCGACACGGGAGATGAGGTACCATTGGTCTTTTTGTATTCCGAGGCTATTTTGTCAACTCCATCCTCGTTACTCTTATACTACCTTGCATGATGAACGTCATCTCGCAAATTATATCTTACTGTGGCATTCCTTGTCGTTACTGGGAAGTGAACGAAGGAGGATGATAAGGCATACTGGGCAAGAAGAAGGAAGACACACCTCTGGCCAATCTCTTTCCTCGAAAAACCCACCCCTCTCATCTTCATCATTTTGTCCTTCATCTCCGCACTCCAATCCAACGCATCGGACCCCTCGTATTTCCTTTCACGTCGCCTAGGTGCTCCTTCTTGTCCTGTCAGACGCACACTCTCGCCCCCTATCCATCTCAACAAACTAGGAACTGATCCGGTGGTGTAGGTGGGTGCGGAAGGTGGAGGGGAGTGATGGAGAGTGAGAGGTGTTCCGACAAGAGGGACTGATCGAGTTCTGGACACAGAGTCGGTGGGGTTGATATGTGGTTTGCTCGTTCCCGATGTCGGGAGGGGAAGTTTGGGTGTGTGAGGAGAGGGGAGATGGGGTAAACGGGATGGTCTGGCGTGATGCATGACGTTTCGGGATAAAACAGGTGTCCGAGGAATATTTGTGGTGATATTGAAGAGGGACATGTCAAGAAGGAGGGCGACGAGGATGCTAGCAACCCGTCTAGATGTCGAAGTTGTATGTATTGGCAGTCAAGGGAGCAAGGGAGAAGAAGGGGGGAAGGACGAAACTGGTCAGCCTGACAATGGCATTTGGAGGAAGTTTGTGAGTGTGGCTGACATTGTGTCTCGGATCTCGGAAAAGATGCATGAAACTTTTCCAGCCATTTCTTCTCTTCTCTTTCTCAAAGTGACATATCCCACCTCTCCTGCCATTTCTCTCCATTCCCTATTATCCTTACTTGCCATTAACCATGATCATCACTGACGCTACGGGCTACGGCTGAGTACTGCGCTGACACTACTAACTCGCCAACCCTCAATCTTTCATCTCCCTTCCATCCCTTCTTTTCCCTCCTCTTCATCTTTCCTCGGCCAGTCCGCAACTTTTCAGTCGCCAGTCGACATCCTCTCTTTTCTCTTTCATTCCTTGACATCTTCTTCTTCCTCTTCTATCTCCTTGATATCTTCCAGTAAGATATTCGAGGTTTGCCCTGGTGGCAATCGACTTATAATCCTTTTCTATATATATAATACTCACAACCCCTCTTAGAATAGAATCCAACTTACCATGTTATTCCCCTCTACTCTCCCTCTCCTTCTAGCAAGTACAGCACTCGCTTTCCCTAATGCTAAACGGCATCGATCCAATTTCAAACGTATCTATCGTCAACGAGACGATCCTGAACCTGTGATCACAGCAGCACCTTCAACATCAACATTCACCGGAATACCCGTGGCCACCTCAACACCGCCCGTTAGCGCTTACGGACTTTCTCCTTTCGCAGGAACGAATTCTACCGGTCCGGAAACATCTAATTCTACCAATGTGGGTAAAAACCCGGAAGACGCAGATCCGGGAGGTATCAGTAATTCGAGTGTGTCGGCGTTATTGGCAAGCACGTCGGTTTTCAATACTTTCACCTATTCGGACTATACGCCAGCGACGACGGCTGCATCGGCGGTGGTCACGGGTGGAAGTGGAAATGGGAATGAAGATGATGGTACGGATGATGAGAGTGATTATGGTAGTGAAGGTGATGATGATGAGGATGGCACGAATCAAGATGGTGGAGGTACTGGGAATAGTAATACTAGCTCTAGTGGGGTCGACGGGACTGCAGGATCAGGAGGGAATGGCCAGAATGGTGGAACGAGTTCCAGTGGAATGGTCAATGGAGGAAATTATGATTCTCTCGGAGGAGCTTTGGAAAGTTATATCGACAATGCGTTAGAAAACGCTTTACCTACCTTGACTGTGGAGGTGATTTTAGTACCTACCAAGGTGAGTTATTTACAAGAGGAATTGTCTTTTCTGTCATGAGCGATTGGGCACTCCCTTACTTTCCATCTCCAAAACACAACATCTTTCTAGAGATGTTCAACACACGGCAGGGGAATGAGAAAAATACACGAGTTCTCTCGCTGACTCTCAGGAACCAGATGGGCATTGGGACTACGTCTACCATCTGGGATCCGACGGAACCGTTACCTCTTCACCCACTTTCATCCCTTCTTTGGCGTCTCCGACTTCAGCATCGTTTACGGCAAACATCGCCTCTTCCCTCGCACCTGTATCTTCCACGCCGGTGGTCTCCTCCGCATATACACCCTCGACCTCGACAGCCAGCTCTACTTTAAGTACCTCGGGCAGTTCGTCACAGACAATCCCCTCCAGCAGCTCCTCAGTCTCAAACACTGGGTCGAGCGCTGGGGATACCAATTCGGGAAATTCTGGGTCTAACGGATCGAATTACTCAGGAGGGGCGATAACGACCACGGCTGATTTATCCGGGGCAACCTCGACTGCGGGTGCGGTATCGACTTCTGGTTCATCTGGGTCATCTGGTACTTCGGGAACATCTTCTAGCTCCTCGGGTACTTCTGGATCTTCCTCAAGCAACTCTGGATCATCTGGGTCTTCCGGATCTTCCTCAAGCAATTCAGGGTCTTCCGGTCCATCTGACTCATCCTCCGCTGCGTCCGGTATCACTGGATCAGCCAACTCAAGTTCATCCTCCAATACATCCAACTCGTCCGACCCAGCTTCTCTCAGTGGATCATCTGATCCCACCTCTGATTCTGGGACTGATACCGGTGCCACCTCATCGTACACCGGTCCAGTAGGTCACGGGTTTGGACATACTGGAAGTTCATCCACACCGGATAATACCACAGTCACTCCTTCCTCTTCAGCGGGACAAGGATCGTCTAACCCTTATTTGGTCAGTGCAAGTAATGTTCATGTACCAACTCCTGGACCTACTTCATCGAGTGATTCTTCTTCTGGTTCTTCATCCTCAGACCCTTCTTCATCCGATTCGTCTTCAAGTGATTCTTCATCGGACGACTCGTCTTCGGTCGATCCGACATCGGGTAATTACTCGAATGACTCTTCATCAGCTATAACATCATCACCTTCTCCCACTGATCCCGCCGGTGTGTCTAGTGCCTCTCCATTACCTTCTGGAGGATACGGTGATGGGATAGGATCAAACTCTACGAATCTCTCCCCTCAACCTTCCGGTACCTATGGCGACGGTATTGGCTCTGGATCTAATTCAAGTTCGAATGGGAATGGAACAAATATCGGTTTTGGTTCTGGTGCAAATGAAACAATGACAGCGACTGCAACAATCTCATCAACAATTTCGTCAAGTAGTAGCACCTCGTCCGATTTTACATCAGTGACAAGTAGTGCTCCTAATGTATCCGTTGATCCAACATCTTCTATCTCTGTCAATTCTTCATTTTCATCATCATCAACTCAAACATCAACTTCAATAATCGATCCAACTTCAGTAGGAGGTTCAACACATGGTTATCCACCATGGTATAATCATAATTCTTCATCTTCCGATAATTCTTCAAGCGTATCTTCAAGTGGGTTGATGTCAATGAGTATGCCTTTAGCTTCAAGTGCATCGATGACTATGTCCTCGGTAATCTCGTCAATCACATCAGCACCTGGTTCTTTTATATCGGAAAATGATTCTGGGGTAGAAACTGTTTATACGACAGATTGGACAACTGTTAATTTAACTTTAACCTCAAGTTATACTTCTTCTTCTTCATTATCGATTTTCCCAACTTCTATCTCTATCTCTTCTTCAATTCCTTCTTTTAGTTCCTCTTCCCTTTCTTCTGACATTACTTCGACCATCCTCCCTTCTTCCACCCTCCCCTCTCCATCAAGCTCTTTCGAAACTAGCTCTTCGACCCTCCCCTCCTCCTCAAGTATCATCGAAATCAGTTCTTCTACTCTCCCCTCTTCAAGCTCAATCGAAACCAACTCCTCAAGCCCCATCTCAACCAGCTCCAGCTCTTCAAGCCCCACATCCACCTCGATGTCAGTAGCGTCGAGCATTAGCTCCGCACCATCGAGTTTCGACCCCACCATCACCTCCTCCCCCATTTCGGCATCGACGGACGAAGTGACAACTACCATCACAGCTTCGGCCAGTATATCCGGTGTAGAATATTGTAAGAGGGGTGAAGAAGAGTATGAGGTAGTTTGGGTTGACGAAAGTGAGATTGAACCTGATTGGGAGATTTTGGTATGATCTGGGATACGAGGATCAGCGCTTGGTTTGAGAAGTAAGTGAGGATGATGGAGAATCAATTTTTGGTCTAACCTTGGAAATGGGTAGGTATCAAGAACAACAGAAAAGAAAAGATTTCAGGATGAGAGTTGGGAATTTAAGGATCGTCAGAAAATAGGAGAAGATGGATGGACCAGGTGTCCTTGGATTTTGAATTTGCTGGGGAAAGGAAGTGAGGTTGGTTGGTTGGACAATTTGGTACGTAGGAGTTCTTTTGATAGTATATGCATGGCGCAGAGCGCAAGATTTATCGATTAATTTCATTCATCTGACCTCACACCTATCCTCTAGTTCTCTCAAGGTCAACACAGGATCTCAACCCTCATCTTGTGAGTCTGCACAAACAAACCTAGGTTCCATCCGTTATGTAAGTAACTCTTTGTCTTTTGACGTGTTCTGCATATGTATTGGAAAGAGAATGAAAGTAGAGATCAAGTTGATCAAGACAAGATGCATTCCTAGTCTTCAGCTAACCCAATTTGATCCAACAGACAAAGCAACGAATCGTGTTGTGAGTATCACTTCGTATCGACATTTACTTTCTTTTTTCTTTTTTGATATTTTCACCCCCCCCCCCCCCCCCCCTTCATTTGTTCTGATCGTCACAGTCCCCAACCCACACTTCCACTTTTATCGCCATACCAACCCGGAGATACCGCTGCGTCACGATGTTTCCACATCTTGAATCTTACGAATCAGCCGAATCGAAAAGATATACCACAACATCAAGAAATCTTTCTTTACTCACTCATTCTTCTCCTTCCCCTCGTACGAAATCATAAGCATTTTGGAACATCCTAAACCAAGGTCCTCTTCTTTCTCTCCTTTCCTCTCCACTTTCTACTTTCCCGACGTTTGCCTTTGATCCATACGAACCTTCGTTTTCCCCAACGGTCGTTTGGGGACCATACAAGTTTTCAGGATACCAACTGTTACTTCCCAACATGACCACCCTTTCCGGATGAGGCATGATAGCTAAAACCCTTCCGTCTTTGTTAATCACACCTGCTATTCCTCCAGGACTACCATTTGGGTTTGCGGGATATTTCTCCGTTATTTCTCCATTCGAGGTCATGTATCTAGCTACGATCAAATGATCACGTTCCAACCCTTGTAGAGAGCCTGTACGAACGAAAGAAGCTCTACCTTCTCCGTGTGCTACTGCCACAGGAAGGAGAGAATTGTTCATTTGTTTGAAAAATACCGATTTTGGTTTACTCCCCGTCTTGACATTGGATTTGATAGGTTCGGTGTCGATGATAGCAGAAGTGGCGGTAGGCGAAGGCGATGTAGAAGTAGTCGGAGGAGAAGGATCGGTCGAAGAAGTATTTCCGGCGGAAGAAGATGGTTCTGAAATCCCAACCAAAGTCACTCTAGCTTCAAACCTTTCACTTTTATTCTTCTTAAATTCCGGCCAATCTTCCGCACCAGGTATTATCTCTTTTATTTGAGAAAAGAATTGACAACCATTACAAACACCCAAAGCGAAAGTTTTCTCATTCTTAAAGTAACGACTAAACTCTCCTCTTGCTCTTTCGTTTAACAAAACGGATTTAGCCCAACCATTTCCAGCACCTAAAACATCACCATAAGAAAATCCACCACATGCCGCTAATCCTGAAAAAGCATCAAGAGATAATCGACCTGAAAGTATATCGGACATATGAACATCTATCGAATCGAAACCAGCAGCATGAAAAGCGTATGCCATTTCCACATGACCGTTGACACCTTGTTCCCTCAATATCGCAACTTTGGGAGGAATAGATAATTTCATATCTGATTTGATAAAAGGTGAAGGTAAGAAATCGAAAGGGATTCGATATGTTATTCCTGGATCTTCATCATTGAGTATTGAATCGTATTCTTCTTTAGCACAAATAGGATCGTCACGGATCGATTGAAGTTTATACGACGTTTCAGCCCAAAGACTTTGTAATTCCCCTCGAGTTGATGTGTAAATAGCTTCGGATCGATGGATGAAAGTTAAAGATTGATCTTCTTTCGGTAGAACTTTAGCGATAACATGAATATGTTGAGTTGGGAAAGAAGATTTGATAAAAGAATCCGTTACTAATGATAATTCAGAAGTACGAACTTGAAATACAGCTCCTAGTTCTTCATTAAACAAAGAAGCGATTGGATCTCCTTGTCCACCTGATGCGATCGCATCAAGAGAGATTTCTAATCCTGCACGACCAGCGAAAGACATTTCGACTAAAGTAGTGAGTAATCCACCATCTGATCGATCATGATAAGCTAAGATGGTATTGGATTCTTTTAGAATTCGACAAGTCGTAAAAAACGCTTTGAGATCAGATGCCATTTCAACATCTGGACTTTCCGAACCGAGTTGTTTGAAAACTTGAGCTAAAGCACTACCACCTAATCGTTGTTTTCCTCTAGCTAAATCGACAAATACAAGTACGGTAGGTCCTACATCGGTTCGTAATTGAGGTGTCCAAGTTTTATCCACATTATCCGAAGGAGCGAATGCTGTAACTATGAGTGATAATGGAGCTATCACTTCTTTTTGTTTTTCTCTCTCTGTCCAACGCATAGACATTGACATTGAATCTTTTCCTACTGGTACACCTACACCTAAAGCAGGACAAAGTTCCATACCGACAGCATGAACAGCTTCGTATAATTTCGCTCCTTCTCCTTCGTGTGAAGCGGCAGACATCCAATTGGCAGATAATTTCACTTTGCTTATACTTTCGATGGATGCAGCTGCCAAGTTGGTGAGAGCTTCTCCTATCGCCATACGAGCAGAAGCACCAGCATTGATCAATGCCAAAGGGGTACGTTCACCCATTGCCATTGCTTCTCCGACGATAACGTCGAAACCATATGATGCACGAGTGACAGCGACGTCGGCTACGGGTACTTGCCAAGGTCCTACCATCTGATCACGTGCGACCAGACCGGTGATACTACGGTCGCCGATGGTAATGAGAAAACTTTTCGATCCGACGCTTGGTAGACGAAGCACTCGGTTGATTGTTTCAGCGAGGAGAGACGTGGTGGGTGCACCCTTGTAGGTTGGTAGGTAGGTGAAAAGAGAGGGATCGAACGGTTCTCGAGGGGGAGTGGAAGTGATGGCGTGACGATGCATTCTTGGTGGTTTACCAAATAAGACAGACATTGGAATATCGATAGGGTTTTCACCCAGAAATCGATCAGTCACTACTAATCTATCTTCGGCCGTGGCTGTACCGACCACAGAGTAAGGACATCGTTCTCTCTTGGCTATCTCTTCGAAGATTGATAGATTTTCAGGCGACACCGCAAGCACATACCTCTCTTGTGACTCGTTACACCATATCTCCATCGGCGACATTCCAGGATCATCCACCAACACATCCCTTATCTCAAAAACAGCTCCTAACCCAGAATCATGTACTAATTCCGGAAGGGCATTAGACAATCCACCAGCACCGACATCATGAATAGATTGGATAGGATTACCCACCACATCCCCTCGGTTGACACAAGCATCAATCACCTGCTGACATCTCCGTTGCATCTCCGGATTATCCCTCTGCACAGATGCGAAGTCGAGATCGGCTGAACTCGCACCGCTAGCCATGGAGCTCGCCGCACCCCCACCGAGACCAATCAACATCCCTGGACCACCTAACACGATCACCTTCGCCCCTGCAGTAATCTTATCCTTCCGGGCAAAGCTAGGACGGACGTTGCCCAGCCCTCCGGCAATCATGATCGGTTTGTGATAACCTCTCCACTCGGCTCCGTTTGCGGTGGGCGTTGACATGAGGAATGTGCGGAAGTAACCTCCTAGCGCTGGTCGACCAAATTCATTGTTGAATGCGGCTGCTCCGAGAGGAGCTTCAAGCATGATATCCAAAGCGGAAGCGATATGTGATGGTTTGCCAATGTCCGATTCCCAAGGTTGAGTGAAGCCGGGGATAAGAAGATCCGATGTGGTGTATCCTGACAAACCAGCTTTAGGCTTCGATCCTCTACCCGTAGCTCCTTCATCTCGAATCTCGCCACCTGATCCCGTCGCCGCACCGGGGAAAGGTGATACCGCAGTGGGATGGTTATGTGTTTCGACCTTGATGAGGATGGGCATATCCTCCTCGTTTTTGCCATATAAACCTTCGTTTTCAACAGCGAACCGAGGGGCTTTGTAACCTTGCATGACAGCTGCGTTATCCTCATATGCTGACAGAGTACCGAGTGAAGAAATGATCTTTTCAGTGTTCCTGATCATTCCGAACAAACTGTGATCTTGTTCTTTACCGTCCACAGTCCACTTGGCATTAAAGATTTTATGTCGGCAATGCTCAGAATTGACTTGAGCAAACATGAAAAGCTCGGCGTCGGTGGGATTCCTTCCAGCCGTAGTGAATGATTCGACCAGGTATGGTATCTCAGCATCTGATAAGGCTAGACCAAGTCGGGCGTTAGCTTCTCCTAGAAGAGCGATCGGGTCCTCGGCACCGATGATAGGGACGGTCACCAATGCGTTCGGTCTCGGAGGTGTAGGCGGAAAGATGACGTCGGAGGGGGGAAGGGAGGTATGGACCAGTTGAGTCATACGATCATGAATGAGATGAAGGAGAGGCGAGAGGTTCGGTAAAATGATGGGAGCTGAGGAAGTGAAGATGTAAAGTGTACCCCGTTCTATTCGCGAGACGTAATCAGCCAGACGACATAGTTTGGCAATGTCGGTAGCTTTGGAAGACCAAGGAGAGATGGTTCCTGCTCGAGGGAGAACGTAGAGGACGAGAGTCGTCTTGTCGGGTGAGGGCATACCAGAGGAGATCCATGACGATGTAGTAGACAGCCGATCGTCATCTCCATAACTCAAGAGGGATTCGAGGATCTTGCGCTGGGGAGTGTCATCCTTTGCTAGTGCGACGGAGGCTTCGGAGCTGGTAGCAGCGACGAGATGGAGATGAACGGCATCCAGAGAGATGAGATTGGGCAAAGTGGCCTGGAAAGTGGAGAGAAGGGTGGACCGGCGGGTAGCTGAGAGGGCGGAGCTGCCTGGTGACACGAGCATGACTGGGGGTCAGCTCTGGACATCCTCTTGACGACGAACGTCTCTCACCTGTGATCTCGCTCTTTATGTTGGTCTCTGTCTATGCCGTCGTCGTCGCTATCGGTACCGTCGTCGTCGTCGTCGTCGTCGTCGTCGTCGTTGACTTGTACAAAGTTGACGCGATTGAGTGGGACTTGGTGTAAGTGAGAGGAAAACCTGCAAGTCACGTGACGGTGCCACGTTGCAGCGCACGCGCCCTTGAGTCTGCGACTGACTGACTCTACTAAGTTTACTTACTTTTGCTGAATTGACATCTCGTCATAGGGACAGCGGTACTCTGGTACTCTGGCACTCTGGCACTCTGGCACTCTGGACGGGTAAGTCATCACTAAGAGCGACAGACACAAGATGAATTACCTCAAATCAATCACCACCACCGTCCTCAACTCGACCGGCGTCGCTTTTCCCTTTTCCATCGGCGAGCGAATACCGGGTATAGATCCAGCCAACACCATATGGGATATCAGAGAGGGCGTCAGGAGGGTGAGTATCTCTAGTCCCCTGTCCTATCCGATCAGCAAAGGTCTGATGTTGACACGCAGGACGACGCGACTCCTCTTACGCTCTTCATATTTGACTCCACTCTCCCACCCCTTCAACCGGGCAACAAAGACAGACGGACACTCATGCAGCTCGCCAGGAACGCATTGAAGAAACTGAGGACTATACGTCATCCTGACGTGTAAGACGATACTCCTGTGTCTGATATGAGCTGACGAATAGATTGAAGTACGTCGATTCAGTCGAAACGGACACCCATGTCTACATAGCCACAGAACGAGTACGACCTTTGGAAGCGGTTTTCCGAGATTGGGAGACCGGTGGCACTCTGACAAGTTCATCCTCGTCAAAAGGGAAGGCAAGAGAAGATTGGATAGGATGGGGTGTCAAGAGCATAGCCGTGGGTAATGTCCTTCGAATCGCCTGATGAGCTAAATGAGACCAGACAGCAACAGCATTTCTTAATTCTCCACCTTTATCACTTCATCATTCTTACCTCATCCCATCATCCGTTTTTATCACTCCGTCGATGGAGTGGAGGTTAGGGGGTTTTGATCTGCTCACTACGAGAGACGATCCCGCCGGAGTCTTGTGGGGTTTAGGAGGTGTAGCTCCTGGCGGTGCTGGAGAGAGATGTGGACCAGAAGTGAGAAAAGGTGGATGGGGTGTTTTAAGAGAGTGGGTTCCAAATGATTTTTTTATTCATGTCCGAAGACTGAAAGAGTAGTACGGATCCAGCTCAAGCAGACACGTATCTTCTAGCATTACTACTATTCTCTCTATATAACCCCTCCTCACCACTCCCTTCACTGACCTCGCAACCGTCCTCTTCTTCCTCTGGAGCTCTCCCAAAAGTTCTCTTCCCATCATGGAGAAGAATGCTCAGTCCGAATCCCCGTACTCGATTATTGACGACGTCCTTCGTCGCCGAAGCTTCTCTCACCGGATTCTGGACCAACAACCCCTTGGCATCTTTAGTGGAGGGATTGGATGGATTCGAACTTTTGTCAGAAGGCGATAAACTTGGTCTTTTACGTACTATCAAAGATGCCGTTTCCTCTGGTACTATCCCCGCTCCTTTTTTGTTGTATCGAGTTCTACCTTCTCTCCTCCATTCCTTGTCCCTCCCTGCCGCACCGAGCGGGGCAATGTTACCTTTGGTACTGGACCTTGGTAGGCTGGTTCCTCCTGCAGATTACGGCAAACTTGTCCTCGAACCTGTGGTGAGACTATACGCCAGTCCAGATAGAGGAACACGAATGGCATTACTAGACGGTTTAGAACAATATGCGGATAAATTGGATGCCAAGACCGTGCAAGATAAAATATGGCCTCATCTTGTGAGTTTCGTCTATAGTCTACGTATCACAGAGCTGATGAGGTCAGATTACCGGCTTTGCAGATACCGTCCCTGTTATCAGAGAAGCCACCGTTAAGGCTATATATCCTCTTGCTTCAAAGGTGAGATCATGCTTTCCGCTTCTGTCCGATTCCTCTCTCCCCTCCTCTCGACCCGAGATTCTCACATGACCCTCAGGATGACTTCCTCTGCAGTGTCACATCTATGAATATCAACCTTCCGATGAGAGCTAAAGGTTCAGCTATCAGACAGAATGATGAACAACGATCTTCTCAGACTACTTGCTCGGATGCAAAGCGACACCGAACCGTCTATCCGGACCAATACCTGTATCCTGCTCGGTCGTCTCGCCCCGAATTTAGGACCAAACACAAAGAAGAAAGTTCTCGTACCCGCATTCGCCAGAAGTTTGAAGGATCCTTTCGTTCATGCCAGAGTGGCTGGGTTAATGGCTCTCATGGCCACTGTTGAGCTGTTTGATAAGGATGATCTGGCAGGAAAGGTGATACCGAACATGGCGTTTACTTTGGTGGATAGAGAAAAGTTAGTAAGAGTGTACGTGGTGGGATATCAGCTGATAGTGTCAGGTTGGTACGAGAACAAGCATTCAAAGCTATGAACATGTTTGTCAAGCGACTCGAGGGAATCGTGGCGACGATGGTATGTTCACCTATATTTTTCTTCTTCCTACAACTCACCTCAATCGGCGTTCAATGCATCTCTCACAAGTACCAAACATATTCAAGTCTCATACATTTCTATCTCCATGACTTCATACTAACCCCCAGCCCGATACTGTGGAAGAACGCTCCCCGAACCTAGGCCCAATAACGACTACTTCACCCTCTAACTCATCTACGAATCAAGCAGGTTTAGTAAATTCCGCAGCTGGTGCTGCTGGTGCATTAGCAGGTTGGGCAATAGCATCATTAGGTAAACAACTCTCATCAAATGAACAACATTCTTCACTATCCGCTTCATCAGGAGCGACATTAGCTCCTCCTTCATCATCCGTCACTCCGAATGGTTCTTCCTTTAGTACTCCCGCAACCTCCCCAAGACTCAGCACGGATTCTGGGATATTCGATCGAAGATCGACAACGACCAAATTACCAGGTGTAAAGGTGGCACCTCCTGTGGTCAGATCCAACTTGGGTGTCGGTGGATCAGGCTTAGGTATGAAATTAGGAGGTGGGAAGAAGATGAAAGATGGAGGTTTGGAAGAAGTCTTAGCGGATGAATGGGATGATGGAGATGGTAGTGTTGAGAATGCTTGGGGAGATGATTTAATTGATGTTAATGCTGATGCTGATGATTGGGGTGAGTCAGAGTTTTCACTTCGTCTTGGATTTCCTTTACGATTCCTCTGTTGATTACTTTTGCCCGACATTACCTTCTCTCCGCTGAACTTCTTTATCAATATTTGATCTCAACGTACCTTCCTGGTCTCCTTCGCTTTCCTTGCCTCGTAGAATCTTTGGTCTCTTGTACCCTCTTACGACCACATGGTCTGCTCATTTGATTCTATCTTCTCTCCGCTTGACTGTATCCTCTCTGTGGGTGTAAACATATTCATTTATAATGGATGTTTTTCACGTGAACTCATTTCTCGCAATGCGTCTCAGTGATTCTCCATGAGCCATCCGAAAGAACGATACGTGTCTGACATACCAACACCATCCATGTCATTTTTCTTGTCTAACTCTCAGCGGCCTTCGAATCAGCTCCTCAAACAGTAGAAGTCCCACCACCTCAATCATACTATATAACCCCCGCCACACCTTCCAAACCTACAACAACAACAACCAAACCATCACTTCAAACCAGTCCTCCAAAACTTCCCAATCCCCCGTCGAGTGTGAAAGTAACAACATCCATTCAGTCCAATCTTAATCCGACCTCATCCCAGTCTAAGTCTATCAACACCTCGAAAACATCAACACCTATCCAATCCGACGCAAAAACACATTCCGATTCAAAAATGCCATCCAACACAAAAACACAATTACCCATCCAAATGAATCAACCTCAACGTGATGTAAAGTCACCCATTTCCACAGTGAATGAAGATGATTCTTCTCATACGAATCTAGCAACTATGAGTAAAGAAGAGAAAGAGAAAGAAATGAGTAGAAGGAGAGAAGAACGAAAAGCTAGAATAGCAGCTATGAAAGAAGGAAAGAAAAAGTAATTTCTTCAACTCCTCAGTACCAGTGTTTACTTTGTATGCATTTTTACTCTTTCTCCTCTTTTCTTTTCCTCTTCATTGTAGTTATCATACACCTGTGTCGGGTTTTGGAACCATCATCTCTTGAATCTCACTTTAGCTACTTCACTCTTGATGAGAGTATATACCATTACTTACTACTTAACAATTCCACATCTTCCACAGTGATATTATGTGATAATGGTGTGAGAGTCAGGGCAAATCAATCTCTCAAAAGGACAACATCTTTGGAATATCTCGAAAAGAGTTTATACCAGTACAAGTGGAGTTCATAAAAGAGTAAGAGTAAGAGTAGACTACTCAATAAAGTCAAGTGAGAGAGGTACCGTAATAAATACAAACTAACACTAACCCTTTATGCATGCAAATACAACTTGACAAAGATGTATACAAACTCCAAAACAAATTTCCTATCTCTCATTCTACTCATACTCGTAAGTCAACAAATCTAAAGTGATCTCCATGATTAATTCGTGAATTGATATAGTTACAAAGACAAAGACAGCGATTGATATAGATTCCAATGTTGTAAATTAAATGTTGAATGGGACACTTGGATCAGCTTGCCAATCAAAACTACCACCTGCTATTTGATTCCACATTTGTCCTATTCCCATTGGTTGTGAACCGACATTCGTTCCTCCAGTGCCTCCAGTTCCTCTACCACCACCACCACCACCTCCTCCTCCTCCTCCTCCACCACTTACCCCTCCTCCTGCAGCTACTCCGCCACCACCACCACCACCACCTACAGCCCCTTGTGTCGCGCCTCCCGTGACTGATGCTCTTGCCTGTCCCCCAGATCCAGAACCAGCCGTAGGACCTTGAGTATTAGATGATTCCACGTTATTCCCACCAGAACCAAAATACCACGATTGATTTTGACCTTGTGGTGAAACACCCTGTCCCTGTCCCTGTCCTTGTCCTTGTCCTGCCGTCACACTAGTCGGTGTAGTTTGAGTACTTTGAAAATAAGCAGAAGCAGGTGTCATACCCGTTTCCCTTATGAAATTATTGTTCATAGCAGACCAAAGTGAAGCTGTATCACCTGCGAAACCTTGTAATAGATTCAAACCATCAAAAGCCACATCTTGAAGATCAAAACCTTCCATTCCTACTCCTACTCCCACATTTGGTCCAAAACCAGAACCCATAGGATGATTATGGTTAGTCAAGATATTTGACATTGTCGAAATTCCAGTAAAAGGATAAGATAAATCAGGTGTATATGTCATTGGTGATGTTCTTAACCATTGTATATTACCTTGTCTTATCGTGTTTGAAGAAGTTGGTCTAGGTGTCATTGTTTGATGAACAGGAATAGAATAATCACTTGAAGTTGATTGTGGACGTGAAATACCACTTTGATTAGGAAGAGAAGTACGTGTATCAGAAGTTGCGTATCTTTGAGAATGATCAAGTTTAAGTCTTTTATCTCTGGAATTCCATTCGGTTGAAGTTGGATGATGTGATTTAGGTGGGACGGAAGCAGGTTTGATGGGTATGTTTGAATTTGGAGAGGAAGATTTACGTTTACGACTAGTGTTTGATTGAGGAGGTGGAAGTAAAATTTGATTTCGATTAGGATATTGTGGTTGAGGTTGATGTGGTTGCGTTTGTGTTTGTGTTTGATCTTGTTCCGTTTCTGACTTTGAGTTTGACTTTGATTTTGAATTTGGTTTGTTTACGGAATTTGAATTGAGATTGGTTGGATTTAGAGGTGATGATTTTGGTCCAGGAGCGGTTTTACCAACTACTACTTCTTTCGCTCTTTGTTCCACATCACCTAATAATTCTCTCAACTTTTTACTCCCAGGCCAAACCGGTTCCAAAGCTAACAAACATCGTCGGGCAGATTCCACATGTCCGTCGACCGCATCGAAGATCATTTGGTCACGAGCTTGAACTTCACACAATAACAGGATAACAGCTGATGACCAGAGGAATTGACAGAAGAGAGCTAGGTGGTGAGAAGGGGGAACGACGACACGAGCTTGAGCAGCGACGTGAATGAATGAACGTGCTGCTTCGACACAATGAGAGATGGAAAGGGAAGAAGGTGGAGGAGCGGGACGTGGAAAGGCCGGATTGGGAGGGAGGAAATTACGATGAAGAGTAATGAGAACTGCGAAATACGAATTGGACAGGACAGCTGAGACGATTTGAACTGTAGGGGAGGAGGAAGAGGGTTCTTTGTATTTGGCGGGCTAAGGTCAGATCAAGTCATAAGACACTAAAGAAGACCCCTCTTTTCTCAAGAAAGAGCCCAAAGAGATGTGTGAGGAAAGTGTCGAGGGGGAAAGTATGACCAATAGGATGAGGGTTCTACTCACCACATCATGTCCCAACCAATCCCTTATCTGCTTGTCCAGCTTGTTGATACTAGCCTGCTGGCTAGCCGCCCAAGAAGGATCCACGATAGATCTCCCATTCGACGGACGATACAAAACTTGTGCAACTTTACCGGCGATCTTACAAAGCTTGGTCAATGCGATGAAACCACTCATCACCCCATCTTCGGGTTCTTCGACATGAGCCGGCGAAGAGAGATGTTGGGTGTTGAGTCGGTCCAGTGCAGCGTCGTCAAGTTCGGAAGGGTAAGGAACATCGATATCGAGGTCATCGACTCCGAGCGGACGACCGAGAGCTATTGAGACCATACTGGGGGATGAGCCCACCTTTCTCAGTCACAGTTGCAGCTCGAACGCCTTTCAAAAAGGGCCATTCGTGTGTGTCAAGAGACATCAGAGAGGCGGAAGGCAGCTCAATTCTCGTCAAGGTACGGGCAAGAATGTCTGTTGTGGATCTGAGCGGAAGCAGAGATGTATCACATTGAGGATTGAGCAGAGAATGAACGAAAAAGACCGACTCACCGGTCAAGTCCATAGATAGCCCACCAACACCTAGAGCGTATTTGCTTTTCTTCAAAACTCAGTGTAGAGCGTACCATCGAGCGCTGATACCGTCAGCTACGTCAGGTATGGCTCGGTAGCTAGCACTCACATGTAAGCCCAAGTCCTGAGCGACCCTCATGGCCTGACCGGCGAGCAACCATGACATGGGCATGGCATTGACACTGGCCTGGAATGCCGCCATCAGGGTGAGACATTGTACTTGATGGATGGTGACGTCTTTGAGCGATGTATAATGAAGTATCTGGGCACTGCATGTCAACGCTGCTGGCATGCTGACTATAATTTTCCTCCCGGTGTCGATATCGAAAAACACACGTTGACAGGGAAACGGGCTGATGAATCCAATGGATTGTCGTGAAGGAGAAGGGTATGCGGCGAAGAGATGACGTGGACAAGTCAAAATGAACGACTCACCGTTCATACCATATAACACCAGCTTCGGCTTCACCAGGTAACGTATTCCCCTCGACTGAATTGGGCCTTCTCGTCTCGGAAAGCTTGGCTTTCTCTCTCTGCCAAGCGGCGTTGGCTCGGAGGACTCTATCGCCTAAAGAGAATATGGCAAAGACTACCGATACGAACTGAAATCAGTGTATGCAACTTCGCTCACGACCGTACCTACAGATGCCCCGTCGATTGTCCGATAGAAGGAAACGGATTTTGCTTGATTGTGAATATGAAACGTTGGCGACTTACCCCTCTGTCAGAAAACTCTGGGACACCCTCTCTTCTCCGTCTCATCAGACCCTCATATTCTTCCCTGAAAACATGTTCCAACACGACCGGTAAAACCGGATGTACCTCCCTGAAGAATGCATTTACCATCTTCTCTCCTTCTTCCGGCAGGGGATACTGAACTTCATCTACGCTCGGCAAAGCTACCACCACTCCTGCCCCTGCCACCGGACCGAAAAGAGGGTTCGTCTCTTCGTCCGTATGTTCCAATGGTGATGCCAAATCATGTGGTAGAGATTTATGTGTCTTATGAGATATTGTAGATCCTGGTCTGTTGATATTCATTCCTCTTGGCGAAAGTGGGTTTGGATGGAATGATCCCAACAGGGATAAAGTATTGGAAGAACCTATCCAACGATAATTTCCTCTTTCATCTTGTGTTAACTCTCCATCTTCCCCATCCCCTTCGTCTGAAGCTAGACCATTCATATCGTCTAACATCGGTTTTCCGTCTTCTCCTTCCAACCTGTCTATCGAGTTCGTATGATCGAAGTTGTTCGTACGGTTGATAGTATTCACAAGGTTTGAATGATTCTGTGGATGGGGAGATTGAGACAGATGTCCTCTTTCATATGCTTCCACAAGAGGTCCAAGTCTTCCACCAAGATTCTCAAGAGCTTGTACTCTAGTTTCAAGATTTTGAACGTATTGTCTACTATACGCCGCTCTATCTCTCGTAGGGGGGTATATGCATTCCCCTCCACTTTGTAGACATTGAGAACAAGGCCCAAACCCTGGTCCACCCTCGATTCCCATGGTATTCGTAGCTGGACCAGGAAGACATTTGATCTTTTTTACTCGACAGCTTTTACATGCTGCATAAGTTCGGGTTTTCGTATTGTCTGACGAATCGAATCCCATGGCGGAAGAAGGACGAGGACCATGATGAGGACCTGCAGAGTGAGGAATGGGAAGAGGAGGAGCAGTGTGAGGTGGAAGAGGATGTGAGGAGAGTCTAGGTCGAGGTTTCTTAGGTGCTGGAGTGGTGCCGGTCGCACCGGACATGATGAGAGATAAGTAGGAAGATGGATCAAGAGCGAGTCAGATTCAAGCTGTCTGTGTGAGATTGTCTTTGTCTTGAAAAGAAGAGAATTCACGTCGATGGCATTTCGGAATGGAAGACTTGAAGATGTGAAAGCCAAGGAATGAGACGAGAAAGGTCCGAGTTTGATGGGAGTAGAGTAAGAACCGACAGCGGTTAGATCCAAGGGTGAAGAGGTATCCAAGGAAGGATGATTCGGGGGTAGGTGGATGGTCGAGGAATGAAAGCGAAAGGGCGGTATTAAAGAGGATATTGAAATAGATTGATAAAGTATAGCGTCTAGAAGCGGCAGGCGGTGTAAGGTAAAAGAGGAAGGGAGTGGAGTTTGAATTGAAATGACGGTGGGTATGGTGGAAAGTACAAGTAAGTAGTAGTAGTGAAGGGTGAGAATGACGGTACTTATAGATGGATGGATGAGCGGAGAAAGATGAATGAGATGATCAAAGGAGAGTCTTCTTTCACTAGATTCACTGACGTCGGTGGTCATACTACTTTGGTATCACTGGGTCATCTCCGGCGGTGGTCCATGGTACATGGTGCATAGTGAAGGCGGTGATGATGATGGTGATGGGGGGAAGGGGAATGAAGTACTTAGAGGGGAGACAAGAGACAGGTGATTGACAACGAGATGTGAACACCTAACCACTTCAACTTTGTCACTTTACCCATATCACTATCTTGCTTTACTTCTGCACTTGTTTCCCCCCCTATCATCCAAAAGACGGTAACAAGATCATGCTGTATGATGACAAGACTATGCACAACATCCAACGGGGTCGATGATTACTTACTCAAGATAGCTACTACCTACAGGCCGACTCCTCCTCATCCCCTTCCACCATCCTCAAAACCTCGTACCCTTCTCGACTCTCTACACGTCTCTCCACTCGCAGAAACGGCGACAGCAAGAACGGAGCTATCGCACACCCCACCAAGGTCATCCATGAAATCTGTCTACCCATGGTGCCAGCTGGGAATTTGGTGGACAAAGAGAACATACCCCCGGATATGGCAGGTCCAAAAGCTCGTCCGGAAGCCTGATCGTCATTCCACATCGGGTCATTGACGATTATCAAAAGATCGCAGCGCTCAGAGGCCGGAAAGGGTATATGGAAGGGAGAAGGGAAAGGACGTACTCCTGCTATCAGACTGATGGCGCTTCCTGTCGCTATAAGATCGGGATGCGTGTCGAAAACATTCATGGTGAGGATTTCGCACATCCTGCAGGAGTTAGTTTTTTCATGGAATCAACCTCCTTACGGCCCAAGTGATCAAGTGCTCGATTTACCACTGGTTAAGTTGACTGATCATGACTGAGATGTCACTGGACGCTGTTGGCACTGAGATGCAGATCGCAGAACTCCCCAAGAGGAACGGGCGGGAAGCGGGAGAAGGGCCGACACCGTTGAGTACATCGGGATAATGGACGATTGACATGTCATGTCCATCAAGTGACGAGGGGAGATAGGACAGAAGGGAAGGACAAGAAAAAAAAAGAAACTCACGGCCATCCCATCTCCCCCACTACCTTTAATGACCCCTGTAAGATCACAGCCACCCACATCCATCCCCTACTACGGGTCGCAAACCATTGTGAAACGGGTATCGTCAACCCGATCAATATCCATACGACAAAAACCAGCTGCAAAGATCTGACGGGTCCCAAACGTCGTTTGAGAGGTGGAAGGATGAAAGGCGTGAAACAGATGTAGCCGAAAGCGGTGATAGAGTAGATCAGACCTATGATGTCGACCTGTACGTGAGTGTTGGACGTTGTTGTGAGTCTGCAACTGTCCTTCATAGACGTATTCCTCGCCCATCCAAGTTCTAACAAGTATCAAATACCTTTGCTTAAGGAAATCGGAAATCTCAAAAAAGTGAACACGAGGGACGGATTGGGGGAGGGGAATGTTTAGTCGTATGAATGACTGACAGGTAGACCCAGACCGCCATATTCTACATCAGTATACGTGTAAACGGCGAAGATACCTTCAAAGGCGAAATGCGCTAATCATCATCAGCACGTCAAAAAATTCCCCATAACCTCAAAGAATCATCTCGTATGGTCACATCGTGGTCGATTTGTATGGACGTTTACAATTGAAGTCGAGTAATTCGAATTTCAAACACACTCAGAGGTTTATTTAGGGAGGATTGTGACCTGTAGGGGAATAGGGAGAGAAAGAAAGATATTGACTAAGTTGAAAGAAACAAAATATGATTGTGACTAAAACGAAGTTAGGTAGTTTGAAGACTTCCATCACATTCGTTTCATTTTGAGGTCTGTCCTTCTTTCCCTTTTGACGTAGAGCAGCAGGTCTTGTCTGTCTCTGTTAACTAAAATTTCAATTTGTATGACGTAGACTAACTTCGATAACGTAGAGATGACCAACGATCAAAGCCAACAAGGTACTGAAGTCAGTTTGGAGAGCTATCACCTCTCATTCATGTCTCTTTTGTAAATGGGATCATAGTGCTGTCATTTGAGTCAATATTATTCGAAAAAGAGGTCCGAAAGCAGGGACACGGTGAATGGGGATGAAGTGAGAAGGATAAGGAAATGAGAAGAAAAGTAATTCAAGACAATCATGAATACTACTCACAGTCCTCCATTAACGCAACAAGGTAAAGCGTATGGCCATCTCCTCCAAAATTCATTATTCCCACCTAAGAATCCTGGAAGACGACCGAATGGATGTGTCAATTCTCCGCCTATCAAAGTACCTATAGTATAACCCGTGGCGAAAGAAGGGGAATGAACAGCGAATATCGCATCTCTATTATATGGTGTGGATATCTCAGAAGCTAGGAGTTTGTTCAACAATCCTGACGGATTCAGGCCGACTGAAAGTGTGAGCAAAGATTCGTTTTTTCTTCTTCTCCAATCATCTTTCGACATCACTCAAATGAAAAAAACCTTTGTCAATTTGATCCTATCATACTATCCATTCATCTATATCACCGTAGCAAATCTGGACTTGAGAGTCTATAGAGTCCGAGTACAAGTACTCTTAATTGTCTTAAAAAGAAAATATGATGAGAAGCGGACGAATAAGGAAAAAAAACTCACGAACACCTCTCCAAAAAATCAAACTCCAAACTCCTTCGGAAAATCCAACCATAACTACCACCCACATCGTCCCTCCTAAACCAATCATCAAACAAGGTTTCCTACCATATTTATCAGCCATTTTAGCCCATGAAGTAGCTCCAGCAGCTTCGACCAACATCATAACTCCTTCGGCCACACCGGCGTAAAAACCTACTCTCTCACGGGGTACCGAGAAAGATGTTATCATATCTGTCACAAAGGGGAAAATGACAGAGTAGGCCGATGATTCTGCTACACGTAGGAATAAGATAGGAAGGAGTAATTTCCATGGTATAGATGTTGATTGAGTGTCTTTACTCCCTCTTCCCTCCCTGTCCTCTTCTGCTTTTTCTTCATCCTCTTCTGCTTCCCCGTCATTATCATCGTTACACTTGAGTTTCTTCAACTGAGTCGTATCCTGTTCATTTCGCTTGAAGATGATAGACGTATCTATCTCACCTAAGGGGATGTCGTGAAGATTGGACGGCTGAGCTGCAAGTGTATTTGAGTGAGAGGGAGATATTGGCGAGTTGGTTTCGGTCAGTTTAAGAAATGACGATGAATATGACTTGATTGATTGAGATGGAAGAATCGGTATATGTGAAGATGTATGGGAAGAAGGATCGAGTTGGTCGTCATCAGGAAGAATAGGAGGAATACCTTGATCGAAACGTTTACTGGTCGGTGTGAGAGGTAAGTAAATATTCCCAATTTCTTTCCTCTTCGATAACATTTTCTTCACTTTGTCTCTTTACTCTTTACTTCTCCTTGGTCAAATTTGAATCACACCGTATATTTTTCCAAGCTTTCCTTTCCTTCTTATTCAAACCAAATCTTGAACTTATTCACTCTGGTCCAAGATCACAAATCTGAGTTGAGATTTTCTGAAATCCAGTTCTGATCTTACTGAACTTCAAAATATTTGACGTTATAATTTATATCTCCAATAGGCGAGGAAATTTTCTTTCAATATCGTTTATTCTCAGGTGATAAGTAAAGAGATCAGTCTTGATGTAAAGTCTCTTAAGAACCTTCACTTTTAGAGTGCTTTGCTTTTCAGTCGGAGGGATGACACTTCATCATTCCATATTTTCCGCATCACCAATCCCACCCCCATCCCATCTTGATCAAATTATTTCAGCCCATCAGAGTAAAAGTACTTACATGACCTTCCTCTTCTCTAATATAACTCCGTTCTGATGTCTCATCCATTCGAGTATCATCAACATATCCAGCAAAAAGCATACGTACAACGTTTTCATGTAAAGCGATAAAGCCTAGAATGGTGAAAAAGCACAATCAACGATTGGATGCAACTCTATAAATATATGACATAATGTATCGTATAATCTACAAATCTAATTCACACTACTTCCTCACTCTCCCCACCTACATCTACATCAGATTCTTCATCCAAGGGAACAGTTTCATACCCTTCTTTATACTTTTTTTCACTTGGTAACAAACGAGAGAGAAAGAATGGTGGAAGGGAAATCGCTAACATTGCCAACCAAGAACTTTGACGTCCTAATGATCCTACGGGATGTTGAGTGGATAGGGAGTAGATCCAACCTGATATAGCTGGTCCGAATGCTCGACCGAATGCCTGGTGTGTCAACATGGACTTCTCCTACACTTGTAGTTGGGAGGGTCGTCTCCTAGTGAGGAAGAGAGGTTTTCTCAAGATACTATTACATGCAACCGTGAACGGTTGTCCCGTCTCCTGGAGTGGAAAGGAGGCAGAGCTCCTCAAGACAATTCAGGGTTGGCAATTTGGGTTTCTTAACGATGTGTAGTAAGACTATGATAAAGGGGTACTTAGAGGAGAGGAGGGAAATGATGGACGAGAGTTGAAGGGGGGATGAGAAGAAAGTGGGGAAGGATAATTTGACTCACACCTGCTATCAAACTTATTGCGCTACCAGTCGCTAACAACTCTGGATAATCGTCAAATGCGCTCATAGTGAGTATATCACACATGCTAACCATTAGCTGTCATTCTCTGAAAGCGACTCAGTTGTTGAAGAAATGAAGAACAAACCCGACCAGATTATCCGTTCCCGGGCCTCGGCGAACAACCGCAACACGGTAGAAGAACGAAAAGTTGGAGACACAGACTTAGTCAAGGAGATGAGGAGCAGAAAGAAAGAGCCAGACAAATAATGTAAGTAGCAAAGTGTGAGTGATTCGCAAGCGACTTAGGTGAAAGAAGGAACAGACACAAAGAGAGATTCACTCACGGCCAACCAAACCCTCCGACACACCTCAAACCCGTTTGACAAATCAAAACCAACCACATACCTCCTCTCCAATGTATCGCCGTCCATTGTGATAAAGGTAATGTCATGGTGACACCTACCCAAGCTAAGAAAGCTATTTGTAATGATTTCACAGCTCCGAAACGTTTTTTCATGATCGGCAAAAGAAGTGGCGCGGTGATGATGTAAGAGAATGCAGCTGCCGCGTAGAGGAAACCTATGATATCTACCTAAAGGATCTGTCAGTATACCCTCTTAACATCTAACCTTCCAGCTATCATGGCGACTGTGACGAGATGTGACGGGTCTTGCATTGAGTCTGAGAACGAACTCTATTAAATACTGCTGGGAGAGATGGATTCATGTTGGGAAGTAGGTGAATGTGAAGATACGTTTAATGGCTGACTTACCGAAAGACCTAATCCTCCGAGGTCAACATCAGTATAAGTGTACACAGCGAAAATTCCTTCTATGGAGAAACTCGCTGAACGTCAGGATTATGATGTATGAGAAGGGGAGAGAGAAGACGAACTAAGTTGATAACTGAGAAAGACGATGGTGATCAGAGCGAAATGTGGGACTTTCAACGCGGCGGATATAGCTCGATGGTGATCATTCTTCTCCGCTGTGGTATGTATTTGAAGAGAATGAGATGGTGGACGAGTCTGACTTGATCAGTTCGAGGTATCTTAGTTTCCAAGCTGACTGACCTCAATCAAGTATACATAGCTGACCACGAGGGCGATTATAGCACTGTTATGAGCTAGGTCATCATGGAATTTCACCCAGAACTCCTCGACGGATCTTCAGTGAAGCGGGCGAAAGTTTTCAGGTAAGCGGGGAAGGGTATCGTGTGAGAAAAAAAAGACCGATGGAGGGGGAAAATGGTAAAGAAAACGAAATAGCTATATATAAATGACCCACACTCCAGTAGTGACAACACAAGGAAGTGCATAAGGCCATTCCTTCCAGAACTCTGAACTTCCTCCTAATAAGTGGGGTAGACGACCGTAGGGATGTGCCAGTTCACCACCTATGAGGGTGCCGATCATCGTACCAGTGGCAAAAGCGGGTGAAAAGATGGCGAAGATCTTATCCCTGTTAACAGGGTTGGATATTTCCGAAGCGATGATTTTGTTGAGTACCCCACAAGGGTTCATTCCCACTTTTCCGTCAGTCTTTCCCTGTCACACCTCCGCAAAGGCCACTTTTGATTTCGAATCAAGGTTTCCTTCTTTGATTGATAGACTTGCAGTGATATCAAAGTTGTCTACCATTACACGAAAAGCAGATATATCGGAGCAAGGAGAGTGAGAGAAGCATTCTGAGACAAGGGAAGAAATGTGGAACATGTGATGACATAGAAGGGAAGAGGAAGAAAGAGAAGAGCAAATGAGACATAACATACAGATAGCTCGCCAAAGGATCAACTTTCCCACCGACGTCGAAAACCCCACCAAACCCGTTCCTGATATAGCAAACATGAACCCTGCCATTAAGCAAGGTTTCCTTCCATACTTATCTGCCAACCTGGCCCAAGTAGTTGCACACAAAGCTTCGGTAATCATCAAAGCTCCCTCTGCCATCCCGGCCCAAAGCCCGATCTTATCAGGTGCCACCTGGAAAGAAGTGATCATATCAGTCACGATGGGGAAGATCACTTCGTAAGACATTGCATCGCCGAATCGGAGGAAGAGGATGGGTAAGATGAGTTTCCATGGAATGTCAGATGAGTGTGAGTGTGGGTGTGAATGTAGTTGAGATTGAGGTTCAGGAAAGGGGTTCGAGGTGGAAGGAGTGATTGGAGTGTCGGGTAGTCGAATAGCATCGTGGAATGCTTCTGTTATGATAGGTGAAGGGGAAGGATGTCGATGGTGAGTGTCTTGTTGATGGATATTTGGATGAGGTTGCATGTTTCAATGAGAAGGATTGGATCTGGAATGATAATATGAAAGTCTGAATTTTGAGGAAAGAAAGAATCGAGAAGTCTTGTATGGTTGATGAGGCCTTTGCTTTCAAGTGTACAATACAAGTATCGTATGATGCTCGGAATTTTTCTTTGGTCGATGATGGATGATCTCTTGCTTTTTACTCTTTCTAACTCCCTTGCTCCCTCCCCCGCTCCTCTGCTCGTCGAGTCGAGCCTTTGATGTGATTGACTGGGTATATCGTGGGGGAAATGATCCGCAAAAAATCGGCTGATTGATGTCTGTCCTCCTTCCCCTTGTGTCTTCGTTGTCTTGTGTCTCTCCTTTCATGTTCCAACTTTGACTCTCCTCGAATTTTTCAACTTCCTGGGATGATAAAGACTTGACATCGTACTGGAGCCACCGAAGATGGACCGCTAGCGACTTGGCGAGTCCAGTTGCATAGTACGACCATGTCAAGTCAGGCAAAGAACAAGTGACCGAACACTGTCCGAAAAGATCGGAAGGAATCGTGAATGTGGCGGTGCCACTTCTCCCCCACCTCCCACCGGTTATTCACCAGCCGGAACCCTCTCTCCCTTGGCATCCCTTGCTCTTGAAGAAATGCGTAAAGCGACATCTTCATATTGTGTATAGAAATGCTCTCCAACGACCCCCTCTTACCCCCCGACCCTATAAGACCATATGTCAAACCCACTCCTGAAAATACACACGGAGGGAAGACCTACACTCCGACTCACCCGGGGTTATTCCAAGTCGACTTTGGGCCGAGGGACGAGGGAGAGTATTCCAGTCGTCTCATAGCGTGTCGTGTGAGTGTATGCTTGAACGTTGACCGCGAGAGACTTATGAAGTAGGACTTTTCTCCGGGGGAAATCGTGGCTTCGTTGGACAATGCTAGCTTGGCGAATGAGAAAGCATATAGTTCTGTTCAGTTTGGACCGGGGGTAGGGGATCATTTGGAATTAAACTCGGATCTCTTATTCAGTGAGTGATCGTTCGCTTACACTCGTCTTGGACTTTTTCAATAGAATTCCAGGCTCATTCATTTCCCTGATGATCTCTTGGAGTCGGTGGCTGAGATGATGAGTAGGCGACAAGAGGGAGGATGAATGTTTCAGGAGGAGAGGAGTAAGACGCTGATAGTAGTGAACCATTCTTGCTCCCCTAACGTCATGATGGATCTCACTGGTCAAGCGGAAAAATGGTGTGTCCGAGCTTTAGATAAAGGCGTGAAGAAAGGTGAACCACTCACATTCTTTTATCCTTCTACGGAATGGGATATGGCACAAGGGTTCGAATGTCATTGTGGGGCGTCTGTGAGTTTTCCACCACTGCCCAACCCCCTTTTTCCACTCATTTTCTCCCTCTGATTCATCTCTATCCCTCCGAGACTTCCATCTAGCTCGCTTCACATCCTGTTCATGTCTAACGTTACAAAGACCCTCAAATCGTTTCCATCTGCTGTCAGGCGGATCATAAATTGTTCTGTGATGGACGAAACTAAGCCGTAGGACTGCTTGAAGACTATCACTGGCGCGAAATCTCTCTCCTTAGCAGCGTTAGAACGTAGGGGCGGTCTGAGTGAACATATTCGGATGTTGAAAGAAAGACAATTGTCATCAGAAGGACGATAATGGACCCAGTTTTGATTTTTGTAGTTGCTTCATAGTTTGCATGTTGCATGTTGGCGATCGAAGTGCTTTAACGACCGTGGGAAACTTTTCACCGACCTCCACTTGGACACCGTCTCAAGCACCACATGGACAACGTAGTTCTATCATTTTCTACTCTGACAGCATTAATACATACTGAAAATATGCCTGTATTGCTCGAAGGGTGAGCCAAGATAACACTGACATGTACTAATGTCATAGATTGTGTCACTGCAAAGCGGTAAAATATACGGTGGAAGTAAGTTCTCAGCTCTTCCCGACATACTACCGCGGTTTCATTCCTTAGTCCCTGTTACGACTCGAGGCATCATTTCGCCTCGAACTGAGCTCCGTGGCCGGTGGTGGTGTGTAACAAGAGGGAGGAGGAATCCAACTGATATATAGTCTAACACTCCTGTTCCATTCATGGTCAGTGAATAACAACACTTCTTCCTCTTAAACGTAAGAACCGAACTCGATATAACTTGGATAATCTTCAGCGGTCAGAAGGCGTAAGCCGTGACAAGCTGAAAGACAGATATGTCAATGTTCCATCTGTAGGAAAGTAGGAGGGTATATGGGAAGTTGTAATATCATGGGTAACTTTCCTACTTTGAAGATCCTTAGAGGGGAGGATAAGATCAAGTAAGTCTCTCTATCTCATTCAAATTCACAAGAGCCTCGTCCTTCTGTTTACCCTACGTCATATCCCAAAGATAGGATAAGCACGCAATCAGACCAAGGAGTGCGGAGGAGGATATATGAAGAGGGCTTGTCAAATGGAGATGAAAAAATTGTGAACTGGTGGAAGATAAATGCTGATCATCCATTTAGGGTCTATAAAGCTTGTATGGAATTCGACAAAGATGATAATTGTATCGAAAGTTCCACTTCGAAACGTAGTTTTTGTGAGGAATGTTCTTCCATGTTATGGAATTACCATGATGACTGGCCTCATGTGAGTTATCGACGTCATCTCTCTTTCCTCCCTTCCCCTCCCACTTCAATATGTACCTCGTTGGAGAGAGATATTCCCTTCCTCAAATTATATCCATAATGACAGCCGTGATCAAGTGGAAATTTGTCATGCTTGCAAAGTAATGTATGGTGAAAGAGTTGTTAATGCTTAGTGGATATACCCATTCGCTTCAACTATCGATTCACCAAACCCACTTCCATCCCCTCCGAAAGGAACGACGATAATCGCTATCAAACGTGATTCTTGTCCTGATTACGTGCCGTTACCAAAAGGTGCAAAGGATTATAAAGGTTATGGACCTGGGGATGGGATAGAGGTGAGCACAACGTGTCGCTCACCACATGTGCCCCATCCTCATTATTGTTACTTCGTCTGCCCCGCGCCTCTTCTCTTTCGCTTTCAGTATACATAGGGATGTCGCCCTGCTCGTACAGTCTTATTTTTTGGATTTTTGGATCGACGCAGGATCAAAGTCGAATCTCCATTTGATATTTGCGTTTGTTGAAGGCAGCGATACTGAGTGCCAAAGATATGAAACTGACACATAGTCGTGGCATAAGAAACATGGTGCTTGGGTGGAGTGAATCGTCAATGAGTTTTATAGAGTGAAAGTTGGAGCGAAGTACAGTTCACAATGCAGGCAGTATAGCAGTAAATAGTCTACTGAACACGTCTGGTATGAGTGATGATAAGCCTGCCATTGCCAACGCTGTCCATGCATCCAGCTTGCCAGACCACCTTGGAAGCCTTCGTGATCACCGAAACAAGCTGGAATTCTACGAACCACAAATCCCCCAACTTCATATCCCTTGATAATTTACCTCTATATTCCTCCTCCTCCTTGTTTCTTCTGTTCTACTTAACAAACTAAACATCATGACAATCTTTGTCATAAATGAACAAGGTCTGTCTTCATCTTACTCTCCCCTCCCCTTCTTCGTCCACCACCCACACGTCAATTAACAAGACGCGTCTACGCCATGACCCAATGCTGATTTCCCAGTTGATTTATCCAAATCTTGTCAATACCTACGTCTACCTCATCCTCGTACAGGTCAACCGCAACTATATCTCCCAACTACTTCTTGTTCAAATAGCGGTTCGCGAATTGTGACGAATGATGAAGAACCGGAACGATATTATGGTTTGGTACAAGTCGTAAGATTTAATAAAGGTCGAACATGGTTCATATTACCAGATACTATCGATGGTGAGTATTTACTTGTTCTTCATTTATATCTCTCCTCTATATTTACTTTACTTACTGGCTATGACTTTCTCTCGTCTTTCTTACTTTCCTACTTATGGTATATCTTGAAAGTCAACCACACTCCAGACTCTAGCTCCCAGTCACCTGCTCTCTCCCTTTCCTCACACTGACATTGTGATCATCTTCACAGCTGTACACCGAGTTACGAATACTTGCCCTCAACTCATAAACTTGGAAAAAGAAAACTGATCACTGCTCACACATTAAGCTGGAAAGAGAAATGAGCTGATAACAGTCGGTGATATATTACTTCATATACCTATAGACCCTTTATTCCTCGTTATACCACTTATAACATCCCTTATACCCGTAAGTCCAGCATATCTCCGTGACCTCCCACGATAGATATCTTGATATTCCAACAAAAAAAAAAATCTGACATACAGAATGGTGACTCAAACACTCCATTCCAACCCTTAGAAGACCTCTTCTCTCAATTAATTTCGTCGTCCTCTTTCGCCATCCCTCCCCCTTTTTCGAAAGAACCCCAGAATGGAGATAAGAATGAAGAAGGGAGATATAATCCTGATATTGGGAGATTATTGGAGATTAGGATCATAAGTGATGTTTTCAAATTATGTTGTGATCAAAAAGGTTTGTAATTCTCTTTTCCGTCTTCCCCCTTCTTGCCCTTCATCGCTTCCCCAAGCCGGTAGTTACATCCTTCTACCAGCCTCACCTCATCAGCTGATTGCTTCACTGTTCTTAATGTCCATCCCTCCGCATGATCTCATCAAGGGACTGTCGTTTTGGTAGTATTCTTCTCTGCAAAATCCCAGTCTACCTGTGAGAGAAATTGAAGACTTGACACTAACCCACAGACATTTCTTCTGAAACAGAAATAACAGAAACATATTACCGTCCTTCCCTCTCCCTCATCCTAAACCTGATTCAACAAAAAGTCGACCATTTCCAACGAAACGAATTTCATAAATTTGATCATCTTATACGATCTCTTCTTCGAGATGGTATCCTCGTACACACTGATCAAGGCGATTATGGTTTAGCTACAGGAGTAGAAGAGATGGTTTGGGAACAAGCCAGGCAAAAAGCTGCTGTGGAACATATGAATGAATGGTTAAGTTCTGTCGTTCAGACCGCTTTGATGGATACGTATGAGTGAGTTGTGTTTTTTTTTATTCTTTTTTTTCGAATCAATCATCGTCTTATTCTCCACTAAGACTTGAAAGAAAATGTATTTGGAGGAGGTTCAGCTGCATAATTCTATCATTCAGAAGGAGAATCGACCAATGGTGATATGTCCATGAGGACATTTTCCCTGATTATGATCGTACGGGATAAAACCTATATCATCATACTTGGCCAAAAAGACGGGACTGTCCACTGGTCCATGGAGCTATTTCATCATATAGCCCCACATTTATCCTCCCAGAGTCAGGAGAAAGAGGTGGAAAGAATATTCGACTGATAATAGTTTTTCAGCACTGAAAAACCATTTGGCCAACCGAGCTGCAGCAGATATAATATCATCTCAACCGGTTGTTAACGATAAGCCTAAAGCAGGTGTGAAACGTAAAGCTCCTCCTGCTTCTCGTGGAGTCGAAGTGAGTATTTTTCCCATCTCTTCTGTGTTTTTCCTTTGACCTTTCTACCATGTCACTTTTGGTGGTCCCCCCTGACCTCATCCAATACCACTCTCACTATCCTTGACACTCTTCCCTGTCGACATCTTCGTGTTCTTGTCTCCACACTTCCTGATACCCTTGCCGTCTCACGTCTTCGATTTGCTATCTTCACACATTTTGACACCCTTCCCATCTCACATCTTCGTATCCTCCCTCCCACATCACTTGATATCTTTCCAATCCGACGCCGATCGATATTTGTCCAAGGTGGGTGGAGACTAACGTCTAGATGTTGAAAAAAGTCAATACTAGCAATATGTCAAAACTCACTTCTTTCTTTAAACCTAAACCTGAGAAATAAACTCGTCTTGTTCTCGATCCAACTCATCAACATATAGGTATAACAGTGTCACATGTATCTTTTTACATATCGTTTTTAAGATCATAAATTTATTCTCGTATCTCATCTTAAATGCTGTTATGGCATACATTTTGTTGTCCCATTGAATAATGGACTGATATAATCGAGCTGGACGTTCTTCTCCTTCCTCTTTATTACTCATACTTTCGATCATTGATCGTGCCAACCAAACATCCACGGCGAGATCATCTTTGTGAAACCCGACCACTTGTCAAGACCAATAAGAGTAGAGTTAGAGTTAAGTACTCAAGAATCTTTTCAGTATTGACTATAACCATGTGCAGACATTTAACATTCAACATTCAACTTCTAACATGCGGAAGTTGAGTTTGTAGAAGATCAATTCAATCATAATCATAATCGTAATCTCAGTCCTCTCAAAAACCAAGCTATCAAACATATTCCCGCACTATATCCAACCAAAACTATCAAAGCAATTCCTTCTTTGACGTATATTGTTTCCATACTGAGGTTGATCAACCCGGTTAAGAGGTTCGCCACTAAGAAAATGATCAATCCATTTCGGTTGATCGCTTCTAATAATCCTGGAGATCTTTTATCCATCTTATCATCTCTCTGTGATGAACTCGTGCTGTGTTCTGGGTTATTTCTTTGGTTAACGAAATTCCGTCGGGTTTCAGAAAAATTTCTACTAGTTTCAAGATGACTTCTACCGGTGTCGAGAGAATCACCGCGGTTGTCAAAATGGTTTTCATGTGAAGTGATGGTTTGTGGAGAAAATGAGAAGAATAAGATTTCGATGAGTAGATAACCTAGTAGAAAAGAAGTGTTATATGCGGATATCCATAATACGTATGACAAGTTTGCCATTCGTCTAGAAACGGGTGTTATGAAAGTCACCAGATAAAACGCTAGCCAGAAGGTAAGGGAATAGCTGAATAGTTCCAGAGATAATTCTGTTCGACGTTTTTCATGATCTTTTTCTCGATGGATACGGATGGTTTGGTTGTTGATTTGAAAGGAATGGATGGGATTTGGAATTGGATTCGGACTGGAAGTGGATGTTGAAGATGACGAGGAGGGGGAAGTCGAGGAGGAGTTGAAGGGGAAGGGGGCCATTGATGTCGAGGTCGAGTTATGGTATGGGGGTATAGACGTGAGTGGGGAGTAAGAAGAGATGGTATGATGTACGGATTGTGAAAAACGTAAAATATGTTCACCTGCTGCTAATCCGAGTAGATAGATTGATAAATATCCAGGAAGAGAAACGAGACCTTCTTTATTTTGACTTAAAAGGTTGTTTCGAAGAGGTGACAATACCCAGGTTTGTATACCTGCATAGTGTAAGGAGAGTTGATGGACTGAGAGATCAGCAGTGGTGCGAATTGTTACCATCTCGGTCTAACAATGGACCATGAGGGATACGGACGGTTCACTTCGAGCTCACATTCGGGGTTAAATGGAAGATGTCGTGTGAAAGACGGACAGCACAAGTGGTGAGCAGTGTCAGAATGGAGAATTGTCTGAGTGAATTGTAGTGGAGACAAATGACGTACCTGTCGCAATGAGAAGACCAAGGATAGACCAACGAAGTTTAGTTTCTCTCAATGGACGTAGAAGAATTCCAAAAATAGGCATGAGACCAAGTGTGAAGAAAAAGTTCCAATGCACACCGTATTCCGTGACGTGTTCCTCTCACTTAGCTCAAGACATGAAAAGAAGGAAGACGAGATGAGTGGAAGGTCAACTCACAGGATAATCAGAACCCTTGACCATGATCACTCTTACTAACCCTAGCAATAACACAGGAGCGGATTTCTTCATTGCCCGTAATACTTGAGATAGAACCGGAGTAGGAGGTGAGGTGATGGAATGCGGTAAGAAAGAACGTGAAGAGACTAGACCGAGAGAGAAGACGAAAGATCCGACACCGACGTCCATCTGCGAGTGAGTAAAGTTCATTTCACACCTGACGACAGCAAGACGTCAAGACATTGTTCGTAAGGGAGACGAGAAAAAAACACTACTCAATGATGAGGGGAATTCCGGGAAAGATGATGAGTAGCGCAAGCTTACGAAACGGAGCTCACCACGAGTCGCATGATGTATCGGGGGAATGAGAGCAGTGAGGGGAGTTGTTGTTGTTAAGGGATCGAGTTTGAGGGGAAGATGACCAACTAACCAAACTTGTTCCGAAATCTTCACATTTCCCTTGAGATCTTGGAAATATATTAAAATCCACAGCGAGAATACAATGAACGGTCATGATCATCATATGCGCTCTGTAAACCGACAAAAACGGTAACCTCCCTGCCTTTCCTTCATTCTCTCCCCTCTCCCATTCCAATCTTTGAGTTGGATAATTGACCGTACCATTTCCTAAGGAGGTACTGTCAACCTCTGGAGTGGCCAGGATATCAATAGCTAAATGAGTATGTGTACTAGGTGTAGGACTGTGTCTTCTTTTCCTAGCAGAGAATGGTTCTCCAACTGATAATCCAGATGAAGATCTAGAGAGAGGTTGTGATTGAGCTTGAGCGGAGAGTACTTGAGAAGGAAGAGCAGCATGACCAGGGACGAAAGGTGATGTGGGTGTTGGGGCAGCAGGTTGGGAAGGTTCTTCATCAGAATCAGATTCATCTAACCATTCTCCTTTTTCTTTTTCTTGAACAATATGTTGGTTGGGTTTTCCGCGAGGTTGAAGTATGGAGATGAGAAAGACTAAAGAGAGAATAGCGAGGTTGAAGATTATTGAATGAGAGGAGAAAATCGTGATTGATAAGAGGAGTGGTAAGACGGTTGTGAGATAGTCAACGATGACATTGGGAGTGGTACGACCGACGAGAGAAGCGTAAAGAGCATAAGATGACTATCATATCAGCTTATACGTCAGATGATTATGGACTGAGAGGTGTGGAAGACTAACGAGAGCGACCAAGGAGATAGAGTTGATAGTCCACACATTCTGTCCGGGATTGTTGGATACGAAAGCCTCTTTGACTGTTTTGTAGTCTGACATGGTCGAATGATAGCGTACGTCTTTTCTGCCAGTAGAGCTAGTCCATATCCTACCCTATGATCCTATGAGTTCCATATGAGACGGTCACTCGTTAGGAGTCGATTCATTGTCAATGTCGAATGTTAAAGTTTAAGACGAAGCAAAGTTGGTCACTTGACATCTCGTTTTCCCTTTCCCTTCCCTCTTTGCCTTTGCTCTATTATCTTCTCTCGTAACCTTTCTTGTCTCAAGATGGAAGATCCTTGGGCGGCTGGACCATCCTGGGTCACTCCTAAACCCTTGAACTCACAAGATACACTCCCAGCACCATCCACTTCACCACCACCAGCACTGGATCATGCCGACCCTTGGGCACGTCCGACGGTCATACCTCCTTCGACCTCACCTGTCACTTCACCACTCCCTAGATTGGAATCACCGCCTTTGAAGAGTCCTACTTATATCCCCGAATCTAACTGGGGTGGAGAATGGGGGAAAGAAGCAGAGGACAGATCAGATACTGGGTTAGTCGAAGTGACGCCCCAAGACCTCAAAGTCGATCAAGATGTAGCAACTGAGAAAGAAGAACCAGAAGTCACTGTACCATTACCTAGACAAACAGAGGATAATCAAGCTATATGGACTCTAAACAGTCCTAATATCGACCCTGCTTCCCTTCCTCCACCCCCTCCTCCAGAAGAGAACACATCTCTCCCAGTGCCCTCTACTCCCCCTAAGATTGATATCATCCCACAAGCCCCATTCTCTTCTTCTTCTCATCATTCCCATCTCTCACATACTCCCAGTTTATCCATACATTCGCCTCATTCTTCAACATCTCGACATACTCCCTACCATGAGCAAAGAGACGGTATACCGTCCCCTAGACCAGGATCAGATTTCGGTGGGTTTACAGATATAAACGCTGCTGACCCTTGGGGAGGGGATTGGGGGTTGGGGGAAACAGGACATTCACGTACGAATTCTGGTTTCGTAACTCCTGAAATACAAAATGTCGATGATGATAATCATGAAGGCTGGGGAGGGGTGCCTGTGAGATCTAATAGTGTGATACCGAGGAAAGAAGATGATGAATGGGAAGAAGCACAGCGAAGGATATTAATGAGAGAACAACGAGCGGTGAGTCTTGAATCACTATGTAACATTATTATGAAACTCATATTTCAGCCACAGGTCAAAATTGTAGAGCTACAAAGAGAATGGGGTGAGCTGGTAGAAGGGGTGATAGGGTTGGATAAACTTCCTGTTTTGACAGAAGAAGAACAGAGAAAGTTGGACCAAACGATACGTCAAACTGATGATGATGTGTAAGTATGACCTCTTACCCTCAGTACGAGTACTCTCCCTCCTGACCTTACTTCAAGACTCTACTCAACTTTATGTCTACGGATAGAAGGGTATAAATGAGAGTCAAAGAGGCTGATGACAGTCATGAAACTCTAAGAAGTCTCAGTGTTATCCCACCTAATATCAACACCTACCCTCCTGTCATATCCTCTTTAACCACACATCAATCCCTTCTTTCCGCTCTCCAAAGACCTAATCCGACTCCTCAAACCTCCCTGTTAAATATAACCATGGCTCGTCGTTCTCGACATAAAGAATCTTTTGGTGATGCCGATTCCCCCTGGGGTGGTCGATCTCGACTTGGAGAACCCGAAGTACCAGTTCTGGAAGCAGTAACCAATGACGAACCACAGAAGAAAGGTTGGAGTTTCTGGGGTCGGAAGAACACACAGGATAAACCTTTGGTCACCTCCGGCGGGGGAGTCTTAGAGGTGAAGACCGTTGATGGGGGGACAACTTCTTTGGCTCAAGGGAACTCTCGACCAGAATCACCAGCCAATAATCCCCTTCAGCCCGATATCATCCCTGAAGCCTCATTTTCCGCCATACAAACACTCGCACCTATCCAACAAATACCTTCCGGTCCTGTCAATTCTATAGAGTCAACTCCTACAGCCCAAGCAACCTCGACAGCTAAAACAACCCCAACAGTACAACCTCCTCAAAATGCTCAGAATGCCCAAGGATCACAGCCCTCCGCTTTTGGAAGATTTTTCGGTCGTATTCGTCGTCAACCCTCCGGCTCAAGTGTCAGTAAAGAAATCGACCCCAAAGATATCGATCCCAAAGATATTGAACTTTCCGCAGATGATTTTACCTTTCTTGATCAAGTCCCATCACTTTCTTCACCACCACAGGAAAAAGGTGTTGGAGATTTATTATCTCTTGAACCTTCTCAATCTATTAAAGGAATACAAGATATATTATCTAATAAAAATACATCATTACCTCAACCTTTAGCTCCACCTCCAAGACCTAATAGTCGTTTAAGTTTTACTACCATCTCTGAATTCAAAGAAAGTACTGCAACCTACGGAACTTTAGGAAATACTTCGATGTCAGGAAGTAATGTAAGAAATGCTCCAATTGGAAGAATAGGAACTAACAACAATACCTCAAATCCAAAATTCGTAGCTCGTATGACCTCTCAACCTGTACCTAAATCAGACATCGATTTATTAGGTGGATTAGATTTCACCGATTCTCCAATCAGTCCAAATACAGGGTCTTCAACATGGGATGAATTCTTATCACCTGGAACGTCAATACCTAGAATCTCAACACCACCTGTTATACCTAGATTATCTAGTCCTCCAACTGTTAACGTTTCACCTCAAATCACTGGTAGTTCTATAAATACGTTTTCTTCACCTTCAATGATACAGAGATCAATAACGCCTTCTTCAGTGATATCATTTACTTCTGTACCTTTACAACCTTCTCCGATTAGACAATCACCAAAGAAAGAATCTCCAACGCCCGTACCACCTACATTGAATAATCATACTCTCTTGTCTTCTCCTGATGGAGTCGTCAGCTCCAAGTCAAGTGGTCTCGTTCCCGCTCCTATTATTGTGGCAGGTCCCAGTAGTCATAATCACTTTGCTTCTGACGATTTTGGTGATTTCGGTGATTTTTCATCATTCGATTCATCTCTTCCTTCCATGACACCACACACCTTTTCTTCACCTTCAAAAACACAATCACAACTACTCCCTCAGTCACTCTCTCAAATCCATATTCATCCCTCCCCCGTACCTCACCGACCACCTCATTTAGGTACATCCACTTCACTCACTCAAACTCTGGTCAATGACGCTATAGCTGTCAAAGGTCGTCGATGGCCAGCTCCACCATCACCTATCGCACCGATGATCGAACCTCCTCCTGGGTCCAATACGCAGCCAGCAACGGGTTTTCCATTTCTCTCTCCTCCCGGATCTGGAACGATCTCAACAGGGTTTCCCTTCCTTCCTCCACCATCACAACCTGTTCCAAAAAATCAAGTCGATCTGTTGAATCACACTTCTGACCAGAATTCTTTAGTGGGGGAATATGAAGTTCCTTCCACTTCTCAAATGAAGACGTCCTTACGGATGCAAGGTGTGATGGAAGGTTTGATACCTACCCCTAAAACTACTCATGGGGAATTAGGAGGATCGAATGTTAATCTTGGTACTAGAGGGATAGGGTCAGGGTCAGGGTTGGAACAAGAGGAGAAGAAAGATATGAAAGAAACAAAAGGTTTATCAGCACAGGATCTGAGTTTCTTTGATAGTCTTTGAAATGACAATATATACAATCATTCAAACTGTCTTCTATTCTATTCTCACTAACCTATACTATCTACACTGTGGACATTACCTAGTGTCCTATGAGATATTCGCGATATCTGTGATTTTCAAGCTATTTCTTAAACTCATCGTGAAGTCATAAATCATTCAATCGTACTCCTCCCCTTCCCTCATCCGCTCCAATCTCATCATCTTCGCCTCTTCCCTCAACCTAATTTGAACCCCTTCTGCTAACTCCCAATTCCAAACATTCAATTCCGTAGCTTTCATAGCTTTCCAAGGTAAGAACCACCATCCTTTCAAACCTACCAATTCTCTATTTCTCTTACTACCATGATCGTACGGTTTTACATCGGGTAAAGTGAAGACGATCTCCCCCTGACCTGGTGGACCGAGTGGTACGAAAAACCATTCTTGTTCGGATAGTTCTAACAGAGATTGTTGGAGGGTTGTAGGGATGGGTTGAGATTTAGATTGAAGTTTGAGAATGGTTTTTTGGATTTTCATATGAGAAAGTTGACGACCTCTGTCTACTGCTAAACGACCGTCTTGGATTAATAGGAATGAAGAAATGAGTAGAGCCTGAGATCAATACACGTTAAGTCATGGATGAGAAAAGATCATTGAGGCGTGGAGTAGGAATGAACGATAAACTTACTAAGCAAATTAATGATAATAACCCTCCTACTAAAACCATCACCGTAACTCCTGCTCTTGAATCCTTTTCTGGATCTAATACGTCTAATCTTCTCCAACCTATCCATAGACCTCGTACGTACCTACCTACAGGACCAGCAGGTAATATCCATGACCATGACCATGCCCACCATTCTTTCAATGTTGGATCTGTCCTGGATAAATGGTATGCTTTGAAGGTACGTGTAGTCAGAGGTTTGAGAAGGGGTAAGGAGAGGAGGAAGAAAATGGGAGGTGAGAAGAGAAGAAGAGTGAGGAATAGAGGGATATAAGGTGCAGTGAGACAATTTGCGAACTGACATCAATTTCCTTCTCTTTTTTTGAATGAAAAACAACATCAAAAGACACCTCCGTTTCCTTCACAGTGGTCGATGGGATTGAAGTGTGAAAGATGTCAAGGAGAGGAGTTTGAACATTATAAGGAGGATTCATGTGAGAGATAACTGACAAAAGCACAATGATGATCATACCCTACTCTACAAACTTTACACGTAGAACAATGTCTCGTCCTAGCAGGTTTCCACCTTCCCTTACATTCATCTTTATAACATCTTTCTATTTTGACATCACCCGGATATTCCGGAGGTCTTGAAACTTGGAATATGACACGTCGGAGTTGAATATCATCTGGTGGATCACGTGGAGGGATACCTTGACGAGAAGGAAGGAGATAAAGTCGGAGAAAAAGTAATGTGAGTGTACCGAGTGAAATTGAAGCAAATGCAGAGTATGTAGCACCTAACAGGGGGTGTTGAAGAGTCTTGCCGATGAAAGTAGCTAGATAGTGTTAGTGTGAGAATATAGGAGATACTCCGTGTGCCATGTTTTGGAATGTTCATATGACAAATGAGGAATGACGGACGTACGACCAATCTCAAATGTACATATCTTCCATGCCCAACTGTATGAATTAGCGGAGAGCAATAAGGGGACATGTGGTATACTGACAAGAAGTAGGTTAATAAAGCTGGAGGAAGTAATTGTTGTACCGCCCAAGTAGCTTTGTGACCACTCATGGTCTGATCACCATCACTTTACCTTTGCTCGACGTTGTGAAGGTGGTGCGTGGGGTGGTAAGATGGAGCCCCGCCTTTATGATGACGTGTCAAAACCCTCTTTCTCTGTGCTTATCATCCCCATCCCCATCCTCCTCTTAAAGTCCAATGTTACCTATGGCGTGACGTTGACAGTCAAGCCCCACCTTATCCTATCTTTCCTCCCATGTTACTATCCTAGTGTCATCACATTCTTCAACTTCCGGAACGCAAAAGACAAAACAATAATCAGTCGTATTCCAACAACTGATCTCAGGCACAAAGTGGACACCTCTGACCCCCGCCGTACGCCGGGTGACATCTCTTGTTCACGCACCAAATACTTTACTCAACATGAGCCACCGTTCTAAACACTCTCCCGAAAAGGGTAAAGACAGTCAGTCTCTTATTTATCTACCACCCAATCTTAATCTATCGTAATAAATGTATGAACGATCACACATGGCTGATATAAACTAGAACCTTTGCCCACTTCCGTTCCCTCCCTTCACACGCCCTCTGCGACAGCGGCATTATACAACTTTCGTCTTCTAGCCGCTCTTCGTTCAGACGATCCAGCTCAGGTACAACCTTTTCTCGACGAGCTCAAACTTGTCAAAGGACAAGAAGGGGAAAGTGTGGCCAAAGCTGGAAGGTTGTTAGCTATGGCTGTACGCGTCGCACCAGGTAAAGTGTTACCTCTCAGGTCACATTCTTTACTTCTCGTTGCCAGGCATGAGTGAGATGTGAATGGGCTAATTGTCAACAGTATCAATCGTCTCTGATATACTCGCTTCACCGTACATACCTTCACCCAACATACGTTTAGAACAAAACTCGCCAGCGACAGCTTTGCACGTGGCTTCTCAAATTGGACGAGCGGACGTCGGTGCGTCGTGTTCCTTTGTCCCATTCTAACCATATACGGTGACATTCATCCTGGAGAGTGGATCATGTCTTATTCGTCGTGTCTCCATCGGGTGTTCAAGATGAACACGAATATGAAGGAAGTCAAGCAGTTGACAGAGCAGTCGAGATGTTACTCAATCATCCAAAGATCAATGATACTATTCGAGACGAGCAGGGGAGGACGGCCCTTGAGTGCGCTGCGAACACGGAAATTGCATCTTTGGTAGAAGGTGAGCTCTGACAAGCACGCTCAGGAGGATCCAAGCTTACGTCGAGACTCGAGGGCAGCTCTTCAAATGAGATTCATAGCACTGCTAGCTAGCTATGTGTCCAGTCCTCTGAGCTCCGTCGACGAGGCTGCTAGAATGTCAGAGTTCCTCTCAAGTCCCAGGTAAGCTATTGAGATATCTCAGTTTCGGACGTCGAGTTGACAACTTCAGGGTGGACATACTCAATCTCAATGCCCTCGATGAGAGGAGTGGGACCAGTCTCCTACACGAGGCCGCTCGGTAAGCTACTTCTTGTCAAGAAGCGTCAGCTAACACCCAGTCGGCGAGACTTACGACTTGTCGAGCTCTGCGTCAAGCGCGGTGCAGATGTTTTCGTGCGCGATAAAAGAGGAAGGAGGGTGTTAGAGGGCGAAAAGGGCGCAGATGAACGGATCAAGGCGTTTCTGAGGCAATGTCAGTCACACCTCTAAACATACACGCGGAGCTGACCCGAACAGTCAGTAATCAAGACAACCTTGTTCAGCCAAAGAGTGATGGCCGCCCTCCAGATTTACGTGGCTTTTTGAGCAAATGGGTCAACTATCGTAGTGGCTGGCGCTCGCGATGGTTCGTATTGGAAAATGGCGTCCTCAGCTATTGTATGTGGTGTCTTCGACGGACGGTATGATATTGGCTCACTTCAGACCGCAATCGAGAAGAAGAGTCAGTGGCTTGTCGCGGGTCCATCGCTATAGCTACGGCATCTTTCAACCCATCCTCCGATGGCTCTCGTTTTGAGATTTCATCCCGAGTATCTTATTCTGCTCCGAAGATTATCGTCAAATCCGCTCACCGAGCCGAGATAGCCCGCTGGATTCAGGCCATCCGACTAAATCTCGATTATTACTCCAAAGGTGGCCAACCAAGCAAACGCACAGGCTCGATAAACTCTTTAACTCCGACTACAGAGAAACCAGCCAAGTCTGCTTTGCGCACATTACCTCCACCGGACACGTTCTTATCACCTGCATTGCAACGTTCCACCACCGGTCTAAGTGGGATCAGCATTGCCACTCAACGCACAATTACGAAGGATGAATCTCCCGACATGTCCAATTTAGGCATGGAAGATGACAATGAGGAGACTATGTCAATTTTCGAGGCTGCCGATAAAGAGAGCTTGACTGGTAGTGGTGAACCAGCTCAAGAACAACATGGTATACCTCACGAAGCATCGTACGATATGGGCGTGCTCTCTATCAAAGCTCAACTCGATACGACAATTCAGCTCATGGAATCGCTCCTTGAGCCTTTGCTTAACCAAGCATCTTCGTCTCTCCCTTTAGGTCGAGATGTTTCTCGCAACGCAGCAATAAAAGATGCGTTAAGAAGCAGCATGACAACATTGGGCAACCTCATTTCTCACCAGAGTATCATGTCTCAAGATCGGGAAAGATACCTTTTGAGCAGAATAAACCGTGAAGTTGAAGCCCGGAAGCTATGGGAGGAAAACATGTTAGCGGTGGCTCAACAACAAGAAGAAACCGATAAACAACTCACTCTGGCCGCAAGAGACAACGAGAAGAAACGTCGAGCATTACGTCAAGCCAAAGGTGTCTTAGCAGAGATAACGGGATCAACTTCTGTGCCCACTTCAAAACCTGGTTCACCAGGGAAAACGGGGTTCACACCTCTTCATCCACCTACTGGAGCGGAATCAGGTATTCTCGATATCCCGTTGACCCCCGGTACAGCTCCATCCTTCTCGCCTGGAATATTCCCAGCCTTGTCACCCGGAAGTACGAGACCTAGTATCAGTAATATCCAAGAGGTGCAATCGGTTTTGGAGGCGGCAGATACCGATACTGAAGATGGAGATGACGAGTTTTTCGATGCTATAGAAACGAACAATATCCCGAATCTGAGATTACATGAGAGTATAGCTCATCCGGAGAAAGAAAGACCGGGCACACCAGTTTCTGCGGATAGAAAAGTAGATCTTCATAAACCAAAAAGTGGCACGATCCATGAGTTTTTGGCGAGAAAGAGTTTGGAACCTTATCTGCACGTAAGGAATAAGTTGCCTATTGATGATGATAAAAGGCCTAGTGTTTCACGTGAGTTATAAACATCTCTCAATCACCCGGCCCCCCCTTTCTCTCACCCGTGTTGTCTCCATTCATAACTGTCAGAAGAAATGGAGATGTCGTCTAGTTCCTGTCCTATTCACTCCGAACTTGGGCTGACATGTAGTCTGGTCCATCCTTAAATCCTCTGTCGGCAAAGACCTCACCAAAATCTCATTCCCCGTTTCGTTCAACGAATGTACTTCCATGTTACAGCGCATGGCGGAGGATATGGAATACGACGCATGTCTCACCGTCGCCGCTGCTGAGCAAGATTCGTTGAAACGATTAGCTTTCGTGGCTGCTTTTGCCATGTCGAATTATTCAAGTACGATAGGGAGGATTGCCAAGCCGTTCAATCCGCTCTTGAGTCAGAGTTTTGAATATGCTGTTCCGGGGAGGTATCGATATATCTCGGAACAGGTATCTCACCATCCTGTGAGTCTCCCCCGTGCTTCGATTTCCTTTTATCTTCACCCTACCTCCAATGAATGAGTCTCCGGCGGTTTCTCCTGTTGAGTGTTACTGCCTCGCCCACACCATCTACACGGACGCGACCAGTTTCAGATAGTCGAACAGCCAGATAGGCTGGAAAAGCGATACGGCTCATCGATGAAAAGTTAACGTTTGAGATAGGTGACAAGCATGGGGGAGGCATGATATGAAGTCGAGAGTTTACTTACACCCAGCCAATTTCTGCATGTTATTCCGAAGCTCCCACTTGGAATTATTACGGCGAAGTCGACGCCCAGAATAAATTTCAAGGGCGTTCCTTCGAAATCCGTCCTACAGGTGTAGCACACGCGGAGCTCATTATCCCTCGTTCGTGGACCACGAGACATCTCAATTATCCACCCGCTCCATCAGAGTATGAGTCCAACGAAGAATTGGTCGTGGAGCATTACTCATGGAAGAAAGTAACGACAAACGTGTCGAACTTCATCATGGGTACACCTCTGATTGATCATTATGGAGATTTGGTAGTGACCAATCATAGGACTGGAGAGACTTGTACGTTGACTTTTAAACCTCGTGGATGGAGAGGGAAGGATGCTTTTGAGATCAAAGGGACGGTTAGGAATGGGGATGGGACGGAAGCTTGGGATATTGCTGGGCGTGAGTGCATCATATACGTCCCATGCTTCCACTTTTACTCTTCCTCACGTCACCTCTCAGGTTCGAATCCTTTTCAACTCATGTGCTCCCCATCGCAGTGATCCGCCAATCTCTTGACTAGCGTCCTTTCCTTTATCACGTCTTCCGACAACTATCATGACAAACTGGCAATGTTATCCGCGGATCAGTACCCACAGACCATCTCTGTCAGGTGTAAAACTGCTGGATCACTGGTGGCATCCACTATTCATGGATACGCCAAGTAGGAAAGAAATGAGAATTGACAAACAGGTTGGGATTCACAACTCATCGCACGTCAATCTGGCAAAGGGAATTTGCCACTTGATTCCGCGACAGAAATCCAACCGACTCAACAAGAGTATCTCTTACTTTGGCGGAATAGCGAAAAACCAAAAGCTCCGTTCAACTTGACGCCATATGCCATCACTCTGGTGAATGCCACTTCAACTCCCCCCAACCCCCCCCCTCACTTCAACATGCATACCTTTCCGCCTCTTTCTGACATCATGTAGCATGTAGCATGCAAGCAACATGTAGAAATCAACTCGGAAGCGATACTCGAGTAAATAATACACGCTCAGCCGTCACCCTGATCAGTACAGTACTCGAGTGCTTGACAGTGAGCAAAGGTTGAACTCTGAGTAACTCTTTCTTAACCCTCACAATCACTTGTGA